AGCTCTTGACCAGCCTGGTCTACAGAGACAGTTCTAGGACAGCCAGGGCAGACTAGGAAAACCCTGTCTTGAGAAACAAAACAAACAAACCAACCCGACAGAAGGTAGATGGAGGGATGGCTCGTTGGTTTAGAGCTCTGCCTTCGCCAGAGGACCCAGGTGTGGCAATTTTTGTTTGTGCTGTAACAAATAAAGCTTGCCTGAGGATCAGAGTGTGGAGCGAACCACCAGTTAGATGTAGAGGCCAGGCAGTGGTGGCGCACACCTTTAATCCCTGCACTCAAGAGGCAGAGGCAGACGGATCTCTGTGAGTTCAAGGCCACCCTGGGTCGCACTAGATTGATGCAGTTTCAATGAGAAACTGAGCCAGGTGGTGGTGGCTCACACCTTTAATCCCAGCATTGGGAGGGTGGAGGCAGCCAGGGATATGGCTGGGCAGAGAGGAATATAATAAGGTGGGAAGAGACAGGAGCTCAGGGCATTCCGTCTGAGGACTTGCAGAGACAGGATACCCCATTTGGTCTGAGGACTCAGAAGAGGTAAGAACCAGTGGCTGGCTCCTCTGCTTCTCTGGTCTTTCAGCTTTCACACCCTAATACCTGACTTTGTGTTTTTAAAAGACAATCAGAAATCACACTACACACTACATCCAGGTTTAATTCCCGGATGTACACAGCTGCTCACAAGTGCCTTTGAGTCCAGTTCCAAGGGGATCTGACGCCCTCTTCTGGCCTCCTCAGGCACCAGACATACAAGCAGTGTGCAGACATACATGTAAGCAAGACATCACACACATAAACTAGAAATGGAGTCCTGCTCGGTCAGTCAGTGACAGTCACCTGCCCTTGTGTTGGGCACTAGCTGCAGCCTGGGCTTCTGCCCTGATCTTACCAGGTTGGTTTAGCTAGACTGCATTCCCGAAGTTCCCTCCGAGGGCTTCACTCTGACCCTTCCTTGTTCCTCAGTTGGGCTGTGTGCCATTCTTGCCTTGGCTTCGTCTTCTCTCACTGCAAGATTCCTGCTGTGGTCACTTCACAGACTAGCAAGGATGAGTTCAAACCGTGGTAGTGGTTGAAATCCTTACTAGGGGGATTTGACAGAGTTACCCAATGTCAATCAATAAACTTTGGCAATCACATGTAAATAAGAAAGAGTGTCTAGGAGCTGTTGCGATGGCTTCATTGTTCTTCCAGAGGACCTGGGTTTGAGTTCCGGCACCCACTTGGTGGCTCACAGCCGCCTGTAACTCCAGTCCCAGGGGACCTCCTGTCCTCTCTCACTCTCATGATCTCCTCAGGCTCCAGACATGCACGTGTGCACAGTCATCTATGTAGACAGACCACCCATACACACGCTAAGTGGAACAAAAAGAAAAGGGGATTTCTGTTGTAAAGGAAGACACTAAAGTCTTGTGTGGAGATGGTGTCCTGAGTCTTCATGCAGAGCTGCTTTCTGGCTCTCTCACCTGGGTGTCTGTCCTTGGTTCACTGTTGAGCTTTAGGGCGCTGGGTTTCTGTTGTTTGTGTTCATTCAGTAGGCCTGAAGCTCCCTGAAGCCCCCCGTCCCCCCCAGCCTGTTCAGGTTTTTGTGGGTGCCTCGCCTGCTGTTAGGTGTCTCAGCTGCTTTCGCCGGGGTCTTGTGAGCTCCTTCAGTTGGTTATCACTTAGCTCCCTACCATCTGTGTAGGTAGCAATCAGCCAGTGCCCCCGTGTCAGGGACGATGACGCAGACGCTCCTTCTTGCTCCGGCTTTTAGTGGACAGATGCTTGCAACATGCAGGCTCCTGTGTGTGCTAAAGATAGTAACTCGGACTTTGATTTTTCGGATACAGTAAGTAACCCTGGGTGAGATGAATCAGCCTGATGTCAAGGATTAAGTACACGAGAGCCACGGAGGAGGGAATTTCGCTGAACGTTAACCCCCACCCCAGGCAGAGCCTCTGTTCTCAGCTCCCTTACTCAGGGTCTTCAGGGTGCATAACAGTGGGATTCATGAGAAGGAGAGTACTAATTTTACTTGAACTTCAGAAATTCAGTCTAGCTTGGAGCTTTGTCTGAAAGCTGGGAGGAAGGCATTTTGATGGATGGTGATTCCGAGTTCTCCAAGCTGGTCCGTGAACAGAAGTTGACTGAGTTGGTGAAGAAGGAGCAAGCACTCTACTGCCCTGTTGGTTTGGCGTTCAGATTCTCTGTGTCCTCATTGGTCTGATGGGCCGTGTCTCTCTCTTACTTAACAACTCCCTCCTTTAGGTGGTAATTTTCAATTTTTAGAAAATTCTTTCTGGGGTGGTGGTGGTTCAAGCCTTTAATCCCAGCATTGGGGAGGCAGAGGTAGGTGGATCTCTGAGTTCAAGGCCACCCTGGTCTAAAGAGCAAGTTCTAGGACAGGCTCCAAAGCTACACAGAGAAACCCTGTCTCGAAAAAACAAACAAACAAACAAACAAAAAAGCAAAAAAAGAAAGAAAAAAAGGAAAATTCTTTTCACCGTCTTAGACTTTGGGGAGCTGAAGCCATTGTGGAGGATGAGGCATGTGTCCTGTGTCTCTGTGCCCAGGGGAGCATGGGGTGTGACTGTCGCACAAGGGTGGCAGGGAAAACAGTCATTTCAAGTGGGGATTGGGTTGCAGGTTTGTGTGTATGTGAACTATCTCTCTGGGGAGACCCAATGGGTGGATCTTGGGGTTGTGACTCACTCTATGTCTGTGGAGGTGGCTCTCGACTGCATTTGGCCTGCTGGTAATCACAGTAGATGCCTTTACTGGTGTGTGTGATGGCACACGTGTGCCTTAGGGTTGTTCTAGGTTTTCGAGATGATCTCTCACTGACTGGCCTGGGGTTCACTGAGGCTAGACTGGCCTGCCAGGGAGCACTATGGGGTCTTCCTGTCTCTGCTCACAGGGATCACAAGTGAACCCTGCCTTGTCATGTGGCTTGTGAGTATTGAAATTATGTTTGTACTACAAGCTCTAAAGTCCCCTCTAACTGGTGTAGAGAATCAGTCAGAAGACAAAAGCCCACAGACCTAAACTGGGTGAATTTTTCTGGAGGAACATATAAAGTATAGCACTAAAGTTCAGGAGTCTAAATATCTGAATGAACCCTGTGGGTCCATGCCAAAAGAGGAAGCTGCTGCCCTGTGCCAGTCTGAAAAACTCAACACCCGCTCAGGGTCACTTCGTGGGAGCCTGTGAATGGTTAACAACAGAAGTTACAGGAATAAAGGCAAATAAACTTTGTGTGTGGGGGTGGTGGTGGTGTATGTCCCATTAAAAAAAGTGAAGACCACCCCAAAGGCCTTAGCTATGGAGATAATAAGCTATTGTGTTTTTCAAAGATTTATTTTTAATTACGGGCCTGTGGGTGTGTGTGTGGGTGTTAGCACTTGAGTGCAGGTACCTAGAGAGGCTGGAGCCAGAGCTACAGATGACAGCCAGCAGCCCCTGGTGGGCTCTGGGGACAAGCTCCGTCCTGTCAGCGGGACGTACTTACTCGCCAAGCTTCCCTCTGGCTACTTGTGCTGCTCTTTAGGAGGGGCAGCCGTTGTCAGATGACTGAATAGAGGGAAAGGGTTTGGACTCCGAGGGGGACAAGCTGTGGGAAGATGGCCTTGAAGCGGGAATCAGTGGTAATTGAGGATTGTGTATGAATAAGAACCGTTTCGTGGGACACTTTGATAAGTGGAATTTGCTTTACAAAAGGGAAATGTATATCTTGCGGTTGGTCAGGTAGGGCGAGGAGGAAAACCCAAATAAACCTTAGATGGCAGTGGCATATTTCGGTCCCCTGTAGTCGGTGGTTTTCGGCCTCTCTGCCCTTTCACAGGTCTGTTCAGAGGAGAGCGTTAGGTTTTAGTCACCACCTCGCTGTGGGTCTGCGGCCGTCCTCACTACTCTTCACTTGTTCCCTGGAAACAAACCTCATGCCAGGTCTGGAGGAGGAGGGTTGGTTGGATGGGTAGGTGAAGGGCTGCTGTCCTTCAGGCTTGAAAAGTTCTCTCTTTTTTTCTTGGGGAGTCATTGATCTGGCAGTAGGGTCAGGGCCCCACAAATGCTAAGACAACCAATTATTTTAGTTTGGAAAAGCTTTTAGATTTGTCGGAAGAGTGTGACTTCTCTGTACCAAGGTCAGTGACTGTCCAGGAAGTTGCTGCCCACTGCCCTCTCTCATACAGGCCGTATCTTTCTTGCCTGATATGTGCTGGAGGCCTTGCTAGTTTGAGGGCTGGCTGGGTGGGCTGGGGTTTTTCTTTTTGTATGTGTGTCTGTGTGTATGGTGTGTGGTGTGTGCTACCTGGTCTTTGAGTAGTTGAACTTGTTCATACTTGTCCCGAAAAGACTTGGGTAATAAGGAGTATGAGTTTCCCATCCGGGGTGACCCTGGAGAAGTTACTGTGAAGGAGCGGAAGGGAGGTGTTGGGATGGATGGGTGTTCCTGAAGCTTGTTGCCCCTTCCAGTTCTAGCTGTTGGAAATGGCATGTGTGTCTCTCTGTTACCCCACAGGTTCTGTCTAGAGCCACAAGTTGTTACTTAGTTCATGCTAGCAAAATTTGGGGTTCATTTTTAACAGAAGAAGCCTAATCATGCCCAGTGCATGATATAAACAAAGTGTGAGGCCCAGCCCCCTCCCTGCCCCCCAATATGCACACAGAGCGTAGATCTGTCTGGGAGACAGACTGCTCCTTGCTGTGGACTGTCCTCTGCAGGGCTCGCTGTCACGGCTGGGGAGACTCCTGAGTAGTTGTGATGTCTGGGGACTGTGGAGGGCAGGGTGGCACCTCTGGGAGACCTGCCCACATGTGGCTTTACCCCTCCCCCGACTCTTAACCTGGTCTGGTAATGATTTCAGCTAATTATGTGTCTTTGGTCTTTTCACTGTTTGCAATTCAAATGCTACTCGAGGCCCTGTGTTTGCTTTTGTTTGCAGCATCCTGGCTGCCATCTGAAGCACAACTTGCTGATCGCGTGTTACCATCTTGGGTTAAGTGCTGTCTCATTGCTTTGCAGACTGCCTGCTGTCTCCCGGGGAGATCATGAAACGAGGTCGCCTTCCCAGCAGCAGTGAGGATTCTGACGACAATGGCAGTAAGTCCTGCTTTGTTGTTCTTGGAGCCTACTAGGGTTTGGGTCAGTGTAAAACCATGATTTTTTAATATGATGCTTTAAATAGCCAAGGCCCTTTGCATATCAAGCAGGTCAGAGAAAGGCAAGGCCTGGAGAGAAACACATCTGAGTGTGTTGGAGCCGCAGGGCTGTAACCAGATCTTTGCCGGCAAAGGTTGACGGCAGGCAGGCCTTCTGCAGGCTTCCTGTGTGTTATCCAGGGAGAAGAATTCAGTTCCAAGAGCCACTGGTGTATCTGTTTTCATTAAACATCATTTATGGTACCTCACGTTGCTCTCTATGAAGAGGGAACTTAATCAAAGTCAGGTAATTATTAACTAGCTCAACCTGCCCGGGGCTCCGAGGGCAGATGGAGGACTGCCCACTGCGATGCGAGGGTACCAAGTCCAGGTTCTTCGTGGATGGCACACGAGTCCCTGCCCTCTCCCAGGTCTAACAGGGCGGTGTTTAATACTGTCACTGTCTGCATCTCGCCTCTCTGGCAACCTCAGATTTTCACAGTGTAGCTGAGAACCAGGAGTTAGTTGGCTTCCAGGCAGTCAAAATAAATGTCACACAGTGTCTGTGTTGAGGAGCTAACAGTCTGCCGAGAGAAGCGCTCCCTTCAGACTGCAGAAGGGGATTCTGTACCTAACTCAGTGCCTGCACTCCAGCCCATTAGCTTAGCTTTGACATTACACGTTAAACTCTGGAAGCCTTGAAAGAAAACTTGCTGTACTGTGCGGCGGGAAGGGAGCCAGGCCTGCTTTCTAGGCACTTTGCCTCAGACGTTAAGAACAGCTCTGATGTGCACACAGCTCTCATGATGTGCTGAAGTGGATTGTAGAAGTGGATTGTAGGGACTCCAGAGAAGGGGTCTGGGAAGACCCAGGGAGGAGACAGTGTTCGGGCAGGTCCCAGGGACGGAAAGCCTTGGGCAGCTAGGGCGGTTCGAACGCCTGGTGTCTCAGGCGCTCAGCATGAGCATGGTTGTGCTGCTGTGGGGGCCACGTGGACAGCCATGGAGAAGGTGGGAGGACCACAGACCTGAGGCAGCCGTGCAGATTTCAGCTGTCTGGAAAGACGTGGAGCGGTGGGCACAGAACTGAGAGCTTTGGTGTGGAGGTGAGCTGTGGTCAGGTCTGACAGCTGGGTGAGAAAGTGAAGAGTTGGCGTCTGGGCCAAGCAAGGGAGTTAACTGTGAAGGGGAAGAGGGAATCAGGGGAGGAAGGATGTTGTCTCCAAACGAGGGCTTTTCTCTTATTTCCTTGGGTCTGTGTAGGTTCTCCTGTACAGGCAGGCCCGGGAGGCCACCTGTGTGAGCTTGGGACCACCAAGCTGGGTGTGAGGCCCTCAACTTAGCATCAGCTCCTACTTCTACTCTGGTAAAAGTTTGGCGTTCTTTTTTTGACCGTGACACCTATTGAAGGGTCCTAAACTGCTCCCGTCTACTTTTGTACGCGATTCTTGTCCTGAAACTTTTTTATTTTTAAGTTGGTCTTTTTAAGTTTAGAAAATTCCCACCACAAGTATGCCCAGGGCTGGCAAAGTGGTCGAGGCGCACACTTCCAAGCTTGGCATTCTGCATTCCATCACTGAGACCTGGGTGGAGAACCCATTCCTATAAGTTGTCCTCTGGCCTCCACACATATGTGTGGCAGGTGTGTATGCGTACACGTACACACACACACACACACACACACACGCACACTAAAAGATGTCCATCCCCAACTCAGACCTTGCCTGCGATGCGCCATTTCCTTTCTCCTACTATGCTCCTGTCTGTTCATTTGGGAGGTTAAGGTAGCATGCCATCCAAGCCCAGCTCTTGGCTGCACATGGGAGTCTGCTGGTGGTTGTGGGGCATAGGAATGACAGTTGCTGGAATTCTTACCAGGCAGTGGGTTCAGTATAGAACATACGGTAGCTGGCGGCGCTTTATGGCTGTCTGGTCAGGCTTGGTGACTTGGTAATTATGGTGAGCGGTGAGAGTGGTGAACAAGTATTTCTGACTGAGTGCCAGGGCCCACGGCGGTATCTGGAGAGTTCAGCTCTGACTCTTCCCCCCTCCTCCCCTGGCAGCTAGTTCATGTGTAGGCCTCTGCCGCCAAGCTCCTCATTGCACTGGGACCCCGCCCCTTGTACACACTCGGGGCTGGGGGTGGCAGTGGCATCTTTTGGTCTTGCTCATCTTGTGATAGCTTTCTCTGTCCTGACTCTTGTTTACAACAGGGTCTGTACAGTGGCCACCTCCCAGCCTCTCCAGCCTGCAGGCCTGACTGGGATTTTGGCAGGACGTCCAAGTGGAGGAGAGACAGCTGCAGACGTCAGCATGGGGCCACAGCACCAGCCACAGGCATAGCTGGGGCCTGCCGGCTTCTGAGTCTGGAGGCCATTGCTTTGTTTTCTGGCCTGGCCCAGGGGAATAGCAGTGTGGTATTTACAGTTGGGAATGGATGGGCTTTTTCTGTGCCAGGTGGGAGCCCTCATCCGCTGTCTTCATGGTTGTTGGTCTTGCTCCAGCTGCCCTGGAGGCCCATCCCTGCAGTTGGATGGAGCAGTGCTGGTGTGTTGGTAGGCACTGTCTGTAATTGCTGGGCTCTTGGGACTGGGTACCCAGCCAGAGTCTGAAGTTACACCCTGTGCCCGGGTGTGGCCTGGGGAAGCAAGCCCGTAACTTCCTGCTTCCACCCGGGTCCTCGGCCCTTAGGAGAGTGGCAAAGGTGGGACTAGGGGCCACCAGTTAGTTTCATTATTTCTAAAGATTTCATTTTATCTGCAGAGACTAATTAGAATAAAATATCCCATTTTGGGCAGGAATATTAATGGTTGTCAGAGACTAATTATAGTTCTAATCTCTAACATTTTCCTTATATAAGTAAAAAAAAATTAAATACTATGCATGGAATACTGTCAGGCCTGTGCTTTTCAGAAGGTGGGGATAGACTGGACGATAGAGGTTGGCTGTAGGAACTGTGGCAGGTTAGGGTCCTCTCCCAGCATAGACAACAGGTTGGTCTGACGCTGTCTGTGATTTCAATTGAGAATTTATGTGACCATGGCTTTATGTGCCCAGGAGCGATGTGCTAGGTCTGCATCCTGATGCTGTGACATTGGTCCATGGCACTCCGTATTGCTAGACCTGTGTTACCTGTTGAATCGTTTTCCTTCAAAGGGCAGAAGTGTGTCTCAGACATGGAGACTCCATTGGGGTGGTGGGGAGGGCTTTCCTAGTCTGTGTTTTGTGGTGGCGTGAACACGGTCTCCGTTTCCAGAACCTTTCTTGCATAGTGTAATCTTCCCCTACCTTTTATTTTTAGTGGTGGTGGTAGGGCCTAGCCCAGAGCCGGAACAGCTTATTACACGCAACTGATCCAAAAACTGGGAGGTGGCGTGCAGTGTGCATTAGATTTACTCTTGAGGCTTTCCCGTTGTTAGCTCCAGGGCAAGCTAGCAGGGCTATTTTTAATCTTTCAAAGGGGTGTGCTGGCAGTGTCTGGCAGGAGCAGAAGGGGCTTGGTGCTTGCATAGGCATGGCCTGCTGCCTGCTGTGATCTTGGAGCCTTTTGTAACAGTGCTAGCCCCAAATGCTCTGTCCTGGTGGGAGCTGGGGATAGTAAAAAAGACAGACTATTTCCCTTCTATTCTTTCAGTGTTTGAGATAGTGTGACAGAACTGTTTTGTCAATAGAGAGGACTTAGCTTTGGGCATCATTTACTTTTCAGGGAGTGGCCATAATTTCAGACGTTATTGCCAAGATCATTACTTCTTACTGAAGGCAAGCTGAAAAGGGAACAAAAGTTTACTTACTGTGCCTCTATTTTGAGACTGGGTTTCAGATTGCCCAGGCTGCCCTCAAATGACCTTGAACTCCTGATCTTCCTGACCCCACCTTCCAAGTGCTGTGCTGGTAGCAGTGAAGATGCCTGATGGAATCCTTTAGCTTGCCTTCAGCTATCAGCAGTTTGGATGTGAGTCCAGAGCCAAGCGCTGGCTCAGCGTGGTCACTGCTGGTTTTGGCAGATACCCTGTCTGTCTTTGCTGTATCCATGAGTTACCTACAGACCTTGAGGCTCCTCTTTCTGCGTGACACGCCCCCTCCTGAAAGTATTTTATGCCTTAACTGTTTAGTTAATGAAGTATGGAAATAATTACTATTACTCTGACTAAGTTATTCCAGACTGGAGTTTGAAGTCTCACCCAAGCGGGGCCTTGAACTTCAGGTCCTCCTGCTTTAGTCCCTTTCGTTTCTAGGACGGCTGCGCCAGCACACCAAGCTCCTCAGCTGCCCTTGTTTGGGGAGTGTAACGTCCTCTTAACGACACTCTCCACTTCCAACTCACTCACCCCAGGCCCGGAGAGTGTGGCTCAGAAAGAAGGGTGCCGCTGTAGTACTAACCAGGTAGTTAGTGGCTTGACTCGTTCTGACTGTCAGAATGTGTTGTTGGACGTACAGGCATTCTTCATTAGAGCAGCCCCACCCACCTGCTGCTGAATGGGCTCTCATTTTCTGGGAGCTCACAAACATATATATTAGGTCGGACAGGAGTGTGACCCTGCGCCTGCCATCTTCAGCTCTAGGCGAAGTTTCTGTCGAGCAACACCGATGACTCCCTGAACAAGATTTTAAGTAGAAAAATTTATCTACTTTTCAAAAATCTGTTTACTGAGGATTTGCTCTGTGTGTGTGTGTGTGTGTGTATATATGCCGACTGAGTTGAACTCTTACAAACTCCGCCCTGTTGCTTGTGTATGCTCTGTAAAATAGCGACTTGTGTTGAACAGGAAGGTCAGAAGGAAGAGGCCTCAGGCAGAGATGCTGGACAGGGAGGTTCCCCTTGTTCACTGGGATCCCCATTGAAGTCTAGGATTTGTGTGGAAGGTGGCCTGAGTCTTTCTCACCAAGAACGGTGCTGTGTTAGTGGTGATGGCCCGTTCATAGTTTCCTGATGGCAAGCTGCACATATCTAAGTGTGTGCCTTGAGAGGTCTGGCCGTGTTTACATGTATTGTGTCACCAAAATCTAAAGAATCTGTCCCTCCGACTCGGCCCCAGGCACCCACTGACCCCCTGTCAGGATGGATTAGTCCTCCTCTTTCCGACTTCCCGTCAGTGCGCTGTACCTGTTCTGCTCGGGCTTCACACTCAGTGTAATTATTTCAGTATTTATCCACGGCACATGAAGCAAGTGTTTCTCACCCATCTGTTTATGATGCGTTCCTTTTTGTTGCTGGCTAGTGTTTCATTGATGGGATGTGTCATAATTGTCTCTTTACAGTGTGGTGGTGGAGTTTTAGGTTGTTTCTGGGTTTATTTATTTTTATTTTTTTTAGATTGTAATAGTTTCCCCTTTCACTTTTCTTCCTCCAAACTTTCCCATGTACCCCTGCTCAGCGCTGTCTTTCAAGTCCGTGGCCTCCTTCATTGCTGGTGTGTGTGTGTGTGTGTGTGTGTGTGTGTGTGTGTGTGTGTAAATATAACCCGCTCAGTCTCTGTGATACTGCCTTCCGTGTATGATGTTTTTGGGCTGACCACTGGTATAGGATAATCAGCGTGCTCCTCACTGGGGTATTTTTACTGCTCCACGAACTCCTTTAGTTACCTGCAGACCTTTATGTAGGGGTGAGGCCGCGTGGTCTTTCCCATCTACACTGGCAGGTCTCTTGTTCTTGTTCAGCTTGTCCACGGCAGTGTTTAGACTGTCATGTCTGACACAGGAGACAATCTCAGCGCAAACTCCCTGGTCCTCTGGCTCTTACAGTCTCCCTGCCCTCTCTTCTAGTGTTCCCTGAGCCTTATGCTCTGGAATTTTGTGGTAGATTTATCAGTTGGGATCAGGCTCAGCAACTTGGCATTTGTGGTTTTCTGTAGTGGTCTGTCTGCTGCAAAGAGAAGTTTCCTTTATGAGGACCTAGAGCTAGGGGTTTTCTTAGTTGTAGTAAATGAACTGCTGAAAATATTATGTCAGTGATAATTTGAATTTAATTTTTTTCCAGTCTTCCCTTCTGCAAATAAGTTTTATAGGATAGTATGTTTCTTGTTCTCATTCTTGTATGATACTGATGGACACCAGCTAAAGTAAGAGGGTCCTGCTGGTTAGTATGGGGTTCCAGGCTGGAGTTACTCCTGGTTAATATGGGATACCAGGCGTGTAGCAGCCTTGGGTGTCTATTTTAAAAGCAAATGTGATTGTAGCAGATTTTCAAGATTTGCAAAGTTTCCTGCTGTTGTTGTGTTCTGAGCCCACACAATGATAAACTTCAGTGGTAGCTTGGACTGCTTGGGAGTGGTGCTGACTGCCATCGCAAGAAGACAGGAGCGAGAGACCCGAGAGAGGACAGACGGATGCTGTGTTTCTCCTTTGGCTCTGGAATTCTCAGTGCTCTTCCCTTTCTGTCTTAGGGCTGTGTTTAAAGTACAACAAAGGAATGCTTCTTTTGGAAGCTTTTTGTTTTTGTTTTATTCCCGATGATACCTCTTTCCAGAGTTAAGCGAGGGCTCAGGCTGGGCTCAAGCACCTGCCCAGCACATGCAGGTCCTGGGCTCCATCCCCAGCACCACCGAGAACAACGGAAGGGACCATCCTTTTCTGTCCATCTCTCGGACCTTTCTAGGGATCCCATGCATACTTGGGCCCCTCTCTTTTACAGTCTGTGGACCTCCTGGGGTATGGCTTCCTAAACAGTGAATTGTGTTGTTTTTTAATATTTTCTTTTTAAATGTTTATTTGTATAGGTATTTTGTCTGTGTACTATATGAATGAGTGCCTGCCAGAAGAGGGCTCAAAGCCCCAGTACTGGAGTTCCAGATGGTTGTGACCCCATCACATGGGTGCTGGGATTTGAGTCTGGGTCCTCTGCAAGAACATTCTTAGCCACCTCTCTCCAGCCCTTAAACAGTGAGCTATAACCCCACAAGTAACTGAATGTGGGGGTCATGAAACATTCGGCAACAGTAAGAGGTTTCTAAATGTGCAATGACAAGAAGAAAGGGAAAGAAAAAAGTAAAAATACTGATCATAATGAAAAATGTAGATTCTCTGTGCTCTGGCATATCAAATATTCAACCAAAATTTAATTCTTTACATAAAATTCAGGACATTCATTTTATTAGCATGCAAATTTGCTTTTGTCAATAAATATAGAAAAAATTATGCTAATGGATGTTTATAAGATGAATTTTTTTGGTTTAAAGTTAGTAAATGTTTGGGTTTTATGCCTATTTTATATACCTGTATATACTTAGGGTTGGGGGTTGGAAGGTGTATGAACCCCTTTGCTAGAGGAAGGCCCTGGTCCACAGAGAGTCTTCTGTGAACTTCGGGAACCACCCAGCCACTTCTTTCTCTGTGATGACCAGCCTTAGAATTTCTGAAGGTTGGCCTCATTCCCAGTGTGGCCACACTTTTTCCAATGTGTGTGTGTGTGTGTTCGTTCGTTCCCATTCATTTTGAATGTAAGTACCATTATTGACTTGAGTAAGTACCAGTGTTGAATCCATTAGTGCTGTGGAGTTGGGACTGTGGCGTAGGACCTGGAGATGCTAGGCAAGCCCTGGATGCTAGGCTACACACCAGCTCTACTTCTGCTTAACCAGAAGTAGCCACTGAATGTCACAGAAGTGACAGCAGCTAGGTGACCCAGTAATAGGCCTTGAACTGGTACTCAGGGGTAGCTCAGAGACCTTCCTTGCCGGAGCCCACAATCCCTGTTAGTTGTCATTAAGAACTGGATGAGAGGCGCATGTGAAGGATCTGTGTGAGGCAGGCTCTGTGTCTGTCTAGTAGATTCTGTGGCCGTAAGGACTTGAGTAACAGGTGATTTCACTAGTAAAATGGGGTGACCTTTGTGGGCTTTTGCTTTTTAACACTGGGGTTTTGTCAGTTTCTGTTCAGTGCATGCCGTAGCTACAGACAGGAGACTGGAATGAGTTATCAGTAAGTTAGGCAAAAAGTGAAGGTGGTTTGGAGCGCTGTGCCTGCTCTGGCTGCAGTTGTGCGCTCACGGGCAGAAGCCATTGTGGTCATCCACCTGGCACACAACCGGAGGCACCAGTGGCGGTGTCAGTGGGGGTGGGGGCAGGGGCACGAGAGGAACATTGGAAGGTTGGCTATGGATTGTGAGCAGGAAGGAGGGGAATCCAGATGACTTGTAGATTTCTGACCTCAAGTAGAAAAGGTGGTGGACTGGTCTCAGGAGGGCTTGAAGAGGCAGAAGTAGTTCAGGCGAAGTCTGGACTGGTTTTTATGTTGCGGAGTTGGCAGATGTTAGAATGACTGAGAAGTTGATGTCTGCCACCAGGGCTACCTTGGGTCAGCTGTGAGTCCAGGGGGAACTTAGTCTAAGAATGTAGCTCACAGGCTCAGCCAGGTGTTCTGCTTAGAGACTCAACTCCGGGAAGTGGAGAAACCAGAGAATAAGGACCCCAGGACGGAAGGCAGTGTGGTGGAAGGGGTATTTTAGGCAGGAGGAGCTCTCAGTGCTGCAGAGAAATTTCAGGCCCTGGGAGTGCTCAGTCTCCTCAGTCCCGGTGGCACCTAGGATACCTGAGTTTCCTGGTAAGGAGCCGTTGGAGAGGGTTGAGCATCTCCGGAGACAGAGGCCCAGTAAGTGTGGAAGTTCTCTGCTTTTTAGGGAGTGCGAGATTGCTGTTCCCTGTGGAGGCATACTTTCTTCTTTTAATGTTTCAGGCACGGCCTTGGGTCGAGCCCAGGTGTCCTGCCATTAGATACTTGGCTGAAGACTTAGGGGATGTTTTCTAGTTTGTTGTAGCAGTGTCTGGTACAGCCTCCACCCTTGGAGTATATATACTGTGGTTCTCTCTCCCTCCCCCCCCCCTCCCTCCCTCCCTCCCTCCCTCCCTCCCTCCCGTACCTGAGGCGGGTGGAGCATCCTGCACACAGGAATCTACTGTGACTGCCTTATGCCTGACAGGAAGGAAGGAACCCTGTGAGGGCCAGGGGATGGCTTTGTAGGTTGTCACTGGAGGTTAATTGTGGGGGTGGAACCCTGACACCCCAGTGACTGGCACAATCTCTTGCATGTGTGCTCTGTGTGCATGGGTGTGAAGATATGTTCACCCGTGTGGGCAGATGTGGAGACCGGAGGTTGGTGAGGGCATGATTTCCTCTCTGTTTTCCACCTTACCTTCGAGGGAAGGTCTTTTACTAGACCCGAAGCTAGGTGGGCTGCCTGGCCCTGCTTACACACACTACCATGCCAGCCTTTCCTTAGGGCGCTGGGGACCTGGACCAGGTCCTCACACTTACGCAGCTACCACCTCACCACGGAGACACTCATCCCACGTGTGTGTGTGTGTGTGTGTGTATTTATAACGGTTTCTGTTTGGCTGTTTCCTTAGGCTTGTCCACCACGTGGTCCCAGCATTCTCGATCCCAGCATGGGAGGAGCACCTGCTCTAGACATGAAGACCGAAAGCCTTCTGAGGTACTTTGGAATGCTTGCTTGCCTTGGTCATGTGTGCATGCAAACCTGCTGCCCTCCTGCCTGCCTCATGATGGGCAGGTCAGGGCGAGTTACTTGACCTCTGCCCCACTTTATACCCCGGAAGATGGTGAGAAGCAGATGCGTGTCTCATTGGAGTCTCTGGAGGAGTAAGTGGGCTAATACATGGAGGCTCATACGTGCGGAGCATGTGGCACGTAGGTAGTGCGCAGTGAATGTTAGCTGTTATTATTAATTGTATTCTTTTTTCCTTTCCCCTTCCATCTTTGCTGGCTCCCAACAACTTTTCCTCTGGCCAGGAGATGAGCAGGTTCAGCTGCTGCCAAGTCACTGCCGGCCTCAAGTTAGTTTGAGCCATGAATTTGTGGCTTATTTGGCAACAACCCAACGTAATTCTGGAAGTTTTGTTCTGGGGATTATGCTTAAGGCTTTCCCCCTGTTTCCCGGTGTGTTTCCCGGCTTATGTTTCCCCGGCGCCCTACATTTTGTTGTTCCCTTTCCTCGCTAAAATTGTTTTGGAGGTGCCTTCCCGCTGGCCTTAGCTGTCTGAGGCCCTGTTGTCCTGAGCTGTTTTCTCTCTACATTCTTCACCATGCTCAGGATTCAAAGCCAGGGTGTCAGCCTGTTGTGGGTTTTCAGGGGAAGCTGTGGGAAGCTTCCTTTGGCATTGCGCTGTTTGTGGGATGGCCTCAGTGGGCTTTCAGCGAGCGCAATGGCCATTCTGTGACATGTGTTCCTCGGGGGCCATCTGATACTGGAGACCAATTTGTCCGGGAGCAGAGGAGTTTCTTGGTGATGGAGTCACCTGCCAGACAGTGGTAGAGACTGGGTCCGGGAAGCTCTTCCATGGTGGGCGGGTGTGGGAGATGCTGTGGGCCGGGTGTCAGTTTTGACATTCAGTGCCCACTGCATTTTTCATGGCATCGGGATCTCTGATGCTGTAGTTTCTTGTCTTGTTAAATCCTGATTTGCCGCTGTAACTGATACTGAGCCTTTTCGATGTCCATACTATCCTGCTGTCCCTTCAGTCGAGGAGTGTGACGGAGCCTCTGAGCAGCAGGCACGGTACTCTGTCCTTTCCCGGTCCGTGTAAAATCCTGAGAGCAAAGTGCTTCCTATGCAAAGGTTTCCAGTTCCTCTGTCCTTTCCGTGGTCTACTCTGGCACCTGAGCTTTGGGTCTGTAGGAATGGAACTGCCTTTTCTCATCTCCTTTCTTAGTGTGATTTTCGTTCTTTGAGAGTTTGCTTGTTTTTTTTTTTTTTTTTCTTTGTGTAGCCCAGCTGGACTGTTTTACCTGATTTGCTTTGTGAGGGTATAGACTCATGGGTATGACCCCGAAGGCCTTTCCCTTGGGGTGGGGTGGTACTAACCTTAGCTCCAGGTCCAAGGGCTTTGTGTCTCGTGGGTATGTCCTGTGTGATCTTTGCAGAAGGTACAGTCAGTCTGTTGCTTGATGGGCCTGCAGCAGGTAGGTCCGTCATCCTGGGGGAAGTCCAGTGTCGAAAATGACAGCCAGAGGAGTGGCCTTTTTTGTTTAGCCACTACCTCATGCTTTCAGAAAAGGTTTCTCAAAGAGATAGCCATCCTGAAAAGCCAGCCGGTGAACCATGTCACTCATGCTTAGCAGCACCAGAAAGCTTCCTGTCCCGAGTGAGGGAGTGACGGTTGGCTGTGTGCCTACAGATTCAGGCGCACGCTGCACCTCGTATCAGGTGGGGCCTGCTCATGCTAAGGTCAGGGCTTCCTTGTGCAACTCAGATGCGTGGGCTGAGGAGAAGGCTGGAGGGGAAGCAGCTGTGTAGCCCTGGCTGCCAGGCAGGGTGTGCTGCTCTGTCTGTCAGCCTCGATGTGGATGCCGAGTGCCCGTGAGTCCGCAGAGGAGCAGAGGTGGCGGCTGCCCTTCCTTCAGTATCCTTTTCTCCGCTGTTTCTTCATGATGAGCTGGGCGCTTTCCTGGTAGATGGACACGTGCACTGAGTCCTGCATGCGGTGAAGCTAGGTTCTGTCTCTCCAGATACTGCTTCCTGGGTAAAGTTTGGGCATCCTCTGACTTGTCATAGTGACCTGTTGTTTCACTCCCAGATCTTTGCATTTCTGCCTGGCATTAGCAAACGAGGCCCTTGCTCTCATCAGCCGTCTGCCCTAGATGCTAACCCCTCGGGAGGTGGGCAGGCTGGCAAGTAAGCTACGGAGGTAGTGACCTCTACCAGGTGGTTCTAGGTTTTGCCTTTAGGTTTAATTGGCTAGTGACGTTTTGTTTGTAAACATGGGCTCCAAAGAGCACCCGCGGGTGACTTGTCATGTTCCCTGGAGAATTTCCGGGAGCCTCTGTTCAGCGGCCCTTGGTGAATTGAGAGGTCTTAGAGGGGAATGGTTGGATTGATAACAGTCACTGCTGCCTCAGATTGTGTGACTGAGGGAACAGGCGAGGGAAAGGATTATCAGGGGAAGGCCTTCTGTAATAGGACTGACTTAACTCTGCGTTGATATAGTGACCTTGTTCTGGGTAGCTCCATGGTTACCTTGCAGCGGCCAGTGCCCCGAAATGAATGCAGATCAAATGCCAGTGTCCCTTCCTTCTTCCCAGGTGTTTAGGACTGACCTGATCACTGCCATGAAGCTGCATGACTCCTACCAGCTGAACCCCGATGACTACTACGTGCTGGCGGATCCCTGGAGACAGGAATGGGAGAAAGGGGTCCAGGTGCCTGTGAGCCCGGGGACCATCCCGCAGCCCGTGGCCAGGTAGATACATGCTTCCCTGTCCACCATGCTTGCTCCTCTCAGCAAACCAGGAGGCTGAGAGGAGACAGTTCCCGAGTCAGCGGTGCAGTGACACTAGGCCTGACAGGAGGTAGAGGTGTAGAAGACACAGTTCAGGCGCCGAGGGTGGTGAGTCAGAGAGCCCTGAAGCTCACGGGAGGTGCTGCTCTCTCAGACTGGAGAACAGAAGGTCTGAGGCATGTTAGAGATACATTTCATGTGACTCAGAGTAGCCATGGGTGATTGCGTTTTAGGAGATGACAGGGGTGAGGAGACCTGTTGGACCGTGTCTCAGATGAGGACTTTGACTAGTTCTGCTATGGACGGGCTCTTTCCGGATGCTGCTGCTTTCTCTCACCTCCTGCCACATGGCTCACCTCACAGCATGCCCTCCTTGCCATTCCTTTGAGATGGACTTTGGTGTGCCGGTATGATTTCTGCCCCACCATCACCCTTTGGTGTACTGTGGCCTCCGAGAGGATAAGAATGCCGAGAGCTCTGTTGGCTTGGCTGCCACAGCGTCCACTGGCTCCTTCCTATATGAAATAGCCTCTTTTACCATGGACAGGTGTAGACTAAATTCACCTCTTGGCCCTAACTCCATGTCTCCCTAGACACAATGATTTGATTGTCATCAGTTTGGGATGCCAGAGGAGTGTGGAATGTTGATGGATGTCACATGATTTATAGTCCACCGTGGCTAGGCAGGCGTAGGTGGCCACCAGGAGTCACCTCTAGAGTCACCGCCAATTTCAGGGTGATAACACCTATAAGCACTGGGCACCCTGTCCGCCTGAGTGCACATGGTGGACAGCAGATGTGGAAGTCCTGGAACCGCAGCGCTCGCTCTAATGGGCTGAGAGCCCTTGGCTGCGCCCCAGAGCTGGTTTGCTCCCGCTCTGCTCTGTCCCCGCGCTGTTCCTTACGGGGCTCGGGGCTCGGGGCTCGGGTGCAGCTGGGAAGCACTTCTCTAGGTGTGAGCAGGCTGTGAGAGTGGTTGCGGCAGAATCGTGCTGGGGTCATGGGGTCAGTGGGCTCCGGCTCTCCGAATTCCTAGGAATTGCAGTGACCCACTGTTTTCGCTTAGTCTTTTGGAAGGTGGGAGTTCCGAGCTGTCACCTGTGGCCTGCAGCACGGGCTGTGCACAGCTTGTGGCTGCTCTTGCCAGCTGTATCCCTGAGGACTCAGCACAGTGAGGTCTGTGTGCTTCTGACAACCTCAGGGGAATGAGCACGCCTGATGGACGGGAAGGAATATAGAAACCAACTATGGACATAACGTGGGGTGTGGAGACACGGATGAGGGTAGGGTAGGGATGTGTGCTAGGGAAGAACAGCTTTGAAGATTGTAGCATCTGCTTCCGTTCTGGCTCTAGGGCCTTTAAAGATTTCTAGGTGAGGGTGTTGTTGATAGGTGTGCCCCCCTTCCCCGCAAACCAGGATTTTTCTGTAGCTGTGGAGCCTGTCCTGGAACTTGTTCTGTAGACCAGGCTGACCTCGAACTCACAGAGATTTGCCTGCCTCTGCCTCCCGAGTGCTGGAATTAAAGGCATGTGCCACCACTGCCAGGCCTGATATTTGAGTTTTAATTCCATAGTGGTTCTGAGCATGGGGGTGCTCTGGCCTTGAGGGCTGGAGGCGGAAGTTGTTCCTGGCCACGGAAACTTTCTTGTCCGTGGCAGAAAAAGTAATCTGGCTACTTGTTTTCTTGTTAAACAGGGTTGTGTCTGAAGAGAAATCTCTCATGTTCATCAGGCCTAAGAAGTACATCGCATCATCTGCCTCTGAGCCTCCAGAGTTGGGCTACGTTGATATCCGGTCGCTGGCGGACAGCGTATGTCGCTATGACCTCAACGATATGGATGCCGCGTGGCTGGAGCTAACCAATGAAGAGTTTAAGGAGATGGGTGAGACTGTGTGTTATTACATTAGCTCACGTTGAAGGAGGGGCTGCCTCTGTCTGTAGTGACTCCTGGAGTACTGTGAGAGCCCGAAGCCCACCCAGGCACAACCATTTTCGTCATCTCAGAATGCCAGCTCTTCGGTGACGAGATGCAGAGTCCACTTGGGGCCCCAGAGCACTGGTGGGCTGATGAGGGATGGTTCCATGGGCCGAGTGGGGGGAAGCCCGGCTTGTTTTGGCTTCCTGTCCCTTTCTGCTCCCTTCCCTGAGTTTACCATCCAGGAACCCGCACCCTGGGAGATGAGTAGGAGGTCCGGTCATGCTTTACTGTTGTGATGTAATGCACCTTTTCCCCAGCTGCAGCCTGCTGCTTCTCAGTGAGCCTGTAAAGCTTGCTCCAAACCCTCTTGATTTTACCTCTTTATACTCCTCTGGCTTTCTTTGAGTGAGGTGTGCCCCTAGCTGAGAGCACACTCTGATGGTCTCTCCTTGTTGCACTGGCGTTTCATGGTGTGGAGTCTGGGATCACATAGGTCCCCTCACTTTCCAGCCGTCATTTCCCACGGTTGCTCTGAGGGTTTGTCCTGACACACTGAACTTGGTGTGAATGACTACATCAGTGCTCAGGAAGCAGGGTCGGGACGGGATGGCATGGGCTGTTTGTTCTCCAGCACACAGTAAAGAGTCGGTGTGTGTTTGACTTCAGGGCTGGAAGGGCAACTGTCTGAAGTTTGTTTCCATGGAGCCGGCCACAGCCTGGACTCCGCTAGCAGCTTGCCCTGTCATTGAGCTCACCAGCCAGTTGAATGGGACTGGGTAGGATTGAGTTGTGAATGTTGGCGTTTCCTACTTGTTGGGGTCTTAGGTGTGTTGACTGAGTTGGTGTTCCTGGTCTTGTTCCCTGCTTTAAGTATTTGTGGTCAGAACAGGAGTAAGCCTGGGGCTGTGATAGAATCTGTTCAGAAGTCCCTGGGGAGTGATACTAGGTGTGGTATATATATCTGAGTGGTATAGTATGCCAGTTAGAAGATTCAACTCTGTCTTTTGAGCTGGCCAGATGCTTTACACTGTTTGTTAAAACCGCTCAAAACACAGTGTGAAGCATTTGACTGGCTGTCGGTGTCCATCTAGTCCAGGGTCCTATCCAAAGACTCAGCCGAGAGATGGCTTTGCAGTGCTTTGAGTTGTAAGAACTCACTTGGCTGGGGCATTAGACAAGATAAACTGGGGCATTAGACAAGATAAACTGACTTGGCAGAATAAATCATCCTTTGATACACATTGAACACCCGTTTAAAGATGTTTGTCCCAGCCACTATTGACTTTTTATGGTAAAGGTTTCTTAGAAGGCAAAATAAAGTTAGGAGTATCCACAAGCTAGGCACTGGGTGAAAAGCGCCCTGTGGATTGCTTGCTTCCCTGATGTGTGCAGTGTTTACCACTATGCATTCTCTATGTTCTCCCATAAGAGCACTTCCCTGTGTGTGCGCACATGGGAGCATATAGGCATCCGTGCATGTGGGTGCTCCTTTCGAGGGGATTGGTCCCTGAAGTGGGAGTCGCAGGTGGTGGGGAACTGCCCTCCGTTGGCACTAGGTCCTGAACTCATGTTCTCCGAAAGAACAGCACATCAGCTGTTCTTCATTACTTACCTTTCCAGCTCATCCGCAAAATTTTAAAACCCCAAAGTGTGATGGTTTTGATTTTACAATGATGCCTATAAGTTTTAGGCTCAGATTATATCCCCCCCACCTTTTAAGCTCGCCCCACCCCCTTCCAGGTCTCCTAATACAGCTCCTGCTGGCCTGAGACCCAGTACCGTTAAGGAGCTCGGACACCAGGCGTGGCTCCTGCGTGTTTCTCTGGAACGCCTTTCTTTATAGGGCATGTTTTCCTTATCAGCAATTCGGAGAACATCTGCACATAGGAAATAGCTCTTTTCTCATTACTAAGGCCACAATAACCACTTTCATGTTTCTTTTTTCCCCCCTCTTTTCTTTTTACAAGGCTTTATTTTATTTACATGTGTGTGCCTGTGTGGGTGTGTGCAGGTGCCAGCGTAGGTCAAGAGAGGGTTTCAGAGCTTTGGGATCTGGAGTCACAGACAGACAGTTGTGAGCCGCCTGACACGGTGCTGGGAACCTAGCCCAGCCCCTCCGCTGTAGCACTAGCTGCTCTTGACCTCAGAGCCTTCCCCTGGTGCCCTCGGCTTGTGTTTGATGGCCCTTGTAGAAGTGTATTGCATTTAATTTGACTTGTAGTGAACTGAGTTCTTTGCTCCAGACATTTCCTCTTGTTTGCCTTTCCTGGATCTGATTTCTATCTGATGGAATGATTATGCATTTCAGGTTGGTGAATTCAGAGCGGAGAGGGATGAGCCAGTTAAAGACATTTGGGAGTTTGGTGTGAAATCTGCTTCAGGGCACTGTTTTAAGCAGCAAGAAAGAAAATTAAAAACAAAACAAAATAAAACCCTGAAAACCAAAACAAGAAAACCCAAACACCATAATATATGGTCCTGGCTTTCTAAGTTAAATTAGTGTCATAGCAACAGTGTGCATTTAGCAGTGCGTGTATTTATACCCTAGAATGCTTTTGAGCTTGTTTTGAGTTTTTACTTCTTTCCCCTATCTTCCATAAGGAACAAACTGGATTGGAGGTGTTTATCTGCGGATTGGTTTGAGTCGCTCTGGCACTCTGATTTTCTTTTACTTGTGTTTTATTTAGGAGTTTAAACATGCCAGTGTTTGATGACAGGGATGTGTCTGGTGTTTTCCTTCAGGGATGCCTGAGCTGGACGAGTACACCATGGAAAGGGTCTTGGAGGAATTTGAACAGCGATGCTATGACAATATGAATCATGCCATAGAGACAGAAGAGGGCTTGGGAATTGAATATGATGAAGACGTTGTCTGTGATGTCTGCCAGTCACCCGATGGCGAGGATGGTAACGAGATGGTATTCTGTGACAAATGTAACATCTGTGTGCACCAGGTAAGGGGGACAAAGCCCACAGAGAAGTTGCCTAGGGTTCTGGGGTGAACCTGTCAGCCAGCCTGTGCTCTCTGGAGCCCAGGACACTTCCAGATGAGGCTGCATCCCCACAGTTGTGGTTTAGGGATGTCATTGCCAGCCCCAGTCCTGGGGGTAGGGTAGGTCTTTCCCTTTACAACCCGAAGGCATTAGGATCCAAGTGAGAACTCCGCAGAAAACAAATCCTGGAAGAGGTGGTTAATCTCTCCATCAGTTTTCTAAACTTCATAAATGGTGGTTGGAAAGAGCGGGAACTGTTTCGGGAACATTCAGTTTTGTTCTTCCTTGTCTCTTCCTGGCTTGTGGTGGAGTCTTGTCAGTCCTTGCTGTTCTTGGCTTGTAGCAAACGTTAGTGCTCCCGCTGTTTTCCCTGTGCGTCTGTCTCCCCAGGGCTGTCTTTGTAGACAGTCCCTAGGCCTGTAGGACTCAGTGTCTGCCCACAGCAGTGTGGTTTTACTCTACTCCAAGTAATCGCATGTCCAGGGACTGGCTGAAGGTGACTTTCAGGTAGCGGTGAAGACTTGACCGTATCTTTTGGGGATATAGGATAATCCATAGCATTAATATTTGTTCATGTATAAACTCAGCTATTGAAGGAGTGTCAAGCGCCCCTTTTGTTTTTCATTTTAGATTTTGTTTAATTTTATGTGTGTGTGGATGTTTTGCCAGCACGGTATGTCTGTGTCTACCACATGCATGCCTGGTGCCCACAGGTCGGAAGAACGCATCGGGTCTCCTGGAACTGGAATTAATGGATGATTGTAAGACTGTGTAGGTGCTGGGAACTGAACCTGGGTCCTCCATGTGAGCAGCCAATGCTGTTGACTGCTGAACCATCTAACTCAAGAGCCCCTGCCCTTGAGCTTTATTTCAAGATGGCAATAGAATGTGGTGGTTGCTTGTTACTGTCTTTCCTTCCAGTGAGGGTGGCCACTGGGTCGTTTAAGAAGCTTGTTCACAGATGTAGGGCCTCTTACCTCTCATTTAACTTAAGAGATTTATTATTATTATTAATTTATTATTATTACTATTTTAATGTGCATTCCCTAAGGCTGGGGTTATAGGTTGTGAGCTGCTGTGGTCCAAATTTGGATTGTCTGGAAGAGCAGGAAGTGTTTTTAACCACTGGTCTCCCTGGTCAAGTTCCTTATTTAACTTTTGCTACAATAATGAAGTGATGTGGGTTTGTGTGGGGCCATGTGTACCGTGCACTTTGGTGATTTAGAAAGCCGTCCTCAAGTACTTTTCTTTGAGGCCATCAGTGACACTGAAATTTAAAACAAACTTCGAAGAAGTGGAAGAGTTGCTTGGGTGACCTCTGAACTTTTGTCTTACATTATCGTTTTTTTAATAGCCCTGGCTGGTCCAAAGCTCAGTGTATAGATGGGTATAGCCTCCGACTGAGACAGGCCTGCCTCTGCCTCGTGCGTGCTGAGACCATACATGCTCCCGCCCACACCCTGGAGATCCTCATCACCCTCTCTGTAATTTGCCTCACCGAGGACTTGCCTCAGCTCATCTTCACAGGAGTCTTGAGACGGTCATGTTTTGCTTTAGTCATGTTGTATCTCGAGTGTCCCTGGCTTTTGGAGTCCCCGTGGTGGCAGTGTATTACGATGGGGCCTGTGACCACACTGTGGCTGGTACTTCTCATTTACCTGAGTGACTTTGCAGTCTTCTGGCATTTGCCCTATTATAAGGTTTCTGCCCGGAATCTAGTTGTGCCTGTAGCATGATGGCTGGCTTGTTGGGGTTTCTGTCCCACCCGGTACCCCATAGCCGGCAAGCCCCAGAGAAAAATCAATCATATAGAGATCTCTATAAGTTATAAAGCTGATTAGCCCATTAGGTCAGGCTACTTATTAGCTTTTATAACTTATGTTATCCCATTATCCTTATCTACGTTAGCCATATGACTCAGTACCTTTCTCAGCTGGGCAGCTTATATCTTTCCTCTCCGGTGGTCTGGGCAGAACTGCAGAGGGAGCTTCCTGCTTCCCAGAATACTCCCAGTCTCTTTGCTCCACCTCTACTTCCTGTCTGGCTTTCCCGCCTATACTGCCTGCCTGGCCAATCAGCGTTTTATTAAAATATGATTGACAGAATACAGATAATTCTCCCGCATCAGTGCCCTGCGCTTTAGAAGTGTAAGCTGACATCAGGGCTGCCTGCCAGCGCCTCAGCACGTAGGTGGCAGGCAGTTGGCCCTGCTACTCGCGCTTCGGTTTCTTCTCTCCTGACACACTTAATGCTCACTTCATTTTTCTTTTGGTGAAATCCTCCATGATTTGTCTTGAAGGCATACTTAATTAGGACAGATACGCCTTTCCAGGAAGTGAAATTCTCTCTTCAAAGGCAACTCTAGAATGTCTGGTGCAGAACCTTAGTGTTTGAAGCCTCTTCATAGACTGTCTAGGTCTGCTTACAAAATCTCTTTGTCCAGTAGACTGTTGACAGCGGCTTATTCATGGCCAGGGCTGCAGTGTTCGTGTTCCTTTGCTGTGCTCGGCTCTTCCCTGTGGTTTCCTGTCTTGTGTCCTGGCCATTCAGATTTCATGGCGGTTGTGTTTCTCTGTCTGGAGAAATAGAGCCGTGTCCCCGTGACTCCACTTCCTGACTTCCAGTTCACTTGAGGATAAAGTTGTGAACAGTTTGCGTTGTAAAGGACTCTCTGACTGCGCTCCTAGTACCATTGTGGTTTGTTTCTTCGCTCTGCTTGTTGAAACATGTGCTTTTTCTCTCTTCAAACCAGCATAATGACTTCAGTTGTAAAAGCCTTGATTTCTGCAGTTTGTGCTGTCTTGTGTAATTTTGCCAACTTGTGCAAAACAGGCTTTGTTTTAAACATCAGCGAGAGAAACCAAATTCTCATTTTTAAGGGTCTTGTTTTCCCGTGGCTGTTTGTTCACGTGGACAGTATTGGCGGAGCGTGTCTAGCTTGGGCAGCGAAGCTCCTCAGGTGGTTTCCCACGCATCTCAGCAGTCCCGTGACTCTTGGGGGCTTTGTAGTCCTCTCTCCGTCCCTCATTGCGCCATCATGAAGGTGGAAAGGTCTTGTGTACCCTCTCTGTCTCGCAGCCCAGCTGGAGCACGCTGCGCAGTGGTTGGAGACTTCCTATGGATGAGTCTCTTCTGTACCCGTGGTTACTCTAGCTTTTGGGACTCCTGTGCTCAGTAAGCATGGAGCTCAGGCACATGAGTGCTGGGAGGAGGACTGGCATTTTCCTTGTCTATTTTGGTGATGGTTCTGTGGAAATCTTCCTATGTGGTTTTTAAATTAATTACTAGGAACTGGGGAGACCCCTCAGTCATACGAACACTGACTTGATTCCTAGAACCCACTTTAATAGCTTACAACCGGCGATAACTCTAATGCCAGGGATCCAATACCCTCTACAGGCACTCACTGCAAAAATGTGCTGCACAGGCATACATGTAGGCAAAAGCTACATAAACAACAAACAAACAGTAAGTAAATAAGTAAATAGACAAAAATCAAATAGACAATGTAAGTCTTTTCTCTTTTCCTTCCTTGGTGATGTGTTGTGGCCTTACAGGCTTGCTATGGAATCCTCAAGGTGCCAGAGGGCAGTTGGCTGTGCCGGACATGTGCCCTGGGGGTTCAGCCAAAATGTTTGCTATGTCCCAAGAAGGGTGGAGCTATGAAACCCACACGCAGCGGAACCAAGTGGGTCCACGTCAGCTGTGCCCTGTGGATCCCTGAGGTAAGTCTGCTCCTCGATAGCATCTTGGTGGACGTGGTCCTGGTTTTCAGCTGGGGTTGGGCAGGTGGGTGGGAGAGGCTCATTGGCAGCAGTCGAGCTGCTGGATCCCACACACCTCTGTCCCTAGACTGCTCTTGAGCATCATGTGGGGGTCTGTAGAAGGGCTGTTGGAGGCAGCAGTGGCTTGGGCTACAGGTTGGTGGTGTCCACAAAATCACCCCACCATGCTATTTTGGGAACCCTCACATGGTTGACACCACTCACAGGGCCAGGCCTGGCACCTTTATGGCCACATCCTGAGGGTGGCCAAGTTACTGCCCCTGCCAGTCTGTCTTTGACAGACTCTATGTGCTCTTGGTCACGTGTCTGTGAGTTTTATTAAAATTCTTACTCAGCCTCAACCTTGTTAATTTCAGATCTGGTCTAATTTATTTCCAGTCCCAGACCTTAACTAATTTAATTTGCATGGCTTGTGATGAGAATATCATTTGTGATTCAAATTCCAGTATTTTTGGTATGTGATTTGGTGTGATTTTTTTTTTTTCTCCAGAGGAAAACTGCCTGGGTATGATTAACATTGAGTTTTCATTGGTTTGGTATTAACTAGTTTGCGGTTCAATGGTCCAGGCTGAACTGGGGTGACAATACCATGTTTAGCATGGTAGATTTTTTTCTTTTACTATAGTTATATGTTCTGATGGAATATGGTTAAGTATAGTCTGCTTATTTGCTCACTCCATGGTTTAAAATGGGGATTTTTAGTTGTGACAAATACTTGTCAGTCTAGAGATCTGGTCCACTGTGTCATAAGAAGACAGGTGTCTGCCTCAGACACTGGGAAGCAGTGGGAACGCCTAGATGGGTTTTTATAGACTGGGGTGCTGGTGTCACAGGAGGATGAGCCCTCACATCTGGGTTAGGATTCTGAACCATGCGGATCCATCTTGCTGTTTTGGCTCTCTAGGTAAGCATTGGCAGCCCTGAGAAGATGGAGCCCATCACAAAGGTGTCTCACATCCCCAGCAGTCGGTGGGCACTCGTGTGCAGCCTCTGCAATGAGAAGTTTGGGGCTTCCATACAGGTAACAGCTCCGTAAGAGTGGCTTTGTTTTCCTCCACTGTGAGGTAGGGAGCGGGATAGGGTGGGGTGGGGTTTGCACCTCATCTAGGAGAGGGGAGCTTTTCTGGGAACCCATTGGGAGGCAGTTCCAGTTTGCCTGCCCGAAGCCTAGTGTCCACTTCTTTCCACAATTGTAAATTTTTTTTTACAATTCCTGGTAAGAGCCTGATAATCCTTGACTGTGGCACTGAGAGTTGCCTGCCTTCCTACTTTAGTCACGTTACATCACTCAGACCCAGAAGGCCTCTGCACTGCCTCCTGGGAATGCCAGTAGCTGAGGTGTTGGGCAGGCTAATGCTTCTGCACTGAGAGAAACGAGCCCTGGAACACTGGCTGGGTGGACGGTAAGAGCAAGCTACTGCCCTGGGTGCTCTTTGTATGAAATGTTACTTGATCTGAATACAGTCTGGACTACTGAGAGCCATATAAAATTGCTGATCACATTTGCATGTTCAGGTACAGGTAGGTGAGTGCAAGAGAAAATGGTATCTGTGCTGTCTGTGTCTTCTTATTGTCTGAAACTGAAGAATTGATTTCTGGGACTTGTTGATATCTAGTCAGGTAGGATTTGAGGCCTGGAATGCTGTGTGGGGCTGGGGGTTTTAAAGGTGAAGCCTGACTCAAAATATGCCTTAGATATTCTGTCTGTCTGTTTGTCTGTCTCTCCTGATCTCTTAATCTGGGGTGGGGGGGTTGTGCGGGCAGAAACACTGTTTGGGCAGCTTCTTCCAGTTCAGAGCATACCGGGCACAGACATGAACTTGACAAGTGTGGTTCTGGCTCTACACAAATTACTTTATTTGACAGAATAGGTTATATTTTGACCGATCAGTCATTCTCTGAGCAAGGTACCCAAACCACCGGTTGGTGGTTTTATATTCTTTTCTTTTTCTTAAACAAGCACAAAGTGGTTTTACTTTCCACTATTACTGTTTCTGCTGGGATTCAGACATCTAAAAACAATCATAGGAGTATCAGGGCCGGCATAGGGCGCCTGAGCGGATTTGGCTTTGGGACCTTAAAGTTGTGGGTGTTTTTTTTTTTTTAATTATTATTATTTTATTTTTTTATTTTTTTGCGTATCAGTAGAATCTGTTGCAAACTAAAATGATAAATGCCTCTGACTTGAGATTTGGGTTAGGCAAAAAGAATAGAGGAAAGGTCAAAGGATTCAAGTGATTGTGCAGGTGTGTGATACACACACACACACACACACACACACAAACGTACACGTATGCACACTTGCTTGTGGCATACCTGAGAAATGGCTGTCCCCATGTTCATGTTAGCTGCTCTTCTGACGTTTCCCGAGAGGCAGCTGGGAGCCCTGCTCGTCTTTCAAGGAGAGACGACATAATGACTTTCCTATTGCCGTTGACCTCCTTTCCCAGAGCATTAATCTGGAGAAGGGGCCAAGGAAGGCTGATGACTTTTCATATCTTCACAAAATAGATTTTTATTAAAAGAATTCCTCTCCAAAATGTCTGCAGCTGGGAAGACTCTGGTTTATGTTTCTGTAACATCTGTTTGCTGAGTCAACCTGAATAGGAAACCCCAGAGGAAGGCCATTTGGCATCTTGTCAAAGTCCTGTATAAATATTCTTCTGCAGCTCATTTCTCTTTAAGGTTAGAATGCCTGGGTTAAGTGTAGTTTAAGCCAAACACAGATTGTGTCTCCGTCATCTGTTCCCACTTGGCTTCATGCTGCTGGGGAAGTAGTGTCTTTTCACGATAGTGGCCAGGTGTGTCTGTGTGTGTTCTGCCACCAGAGCTGCTTTCACACGTTTCTTGTAATTAAGGTTATTTATAAAGGTACAGCTTAATCTTGGTGCATATATTTTAGGTGATTGGAAGTGGGGGCGGTGAAGGAGCTGGATTTTTATAGTAAAGGATTAGATTGTGGCTGGCACCGAGTTGTATCTTAAATACTGAAATGATGAGGGGAGATCCAGCTCCGTCTCTGCTCTCTGTGCTTACGGGATGCAGGGTGTGTTGAATGAGTTTAATTAAGCTTTTCAGCTGTCCCGGAGCACAAGATTCTTGGTGTCTGTGCAGCCCTGGCATGCCCCAGGGACCCCTTGGCCTCACACAATACAGTTGCTTTTAAGGGACTGGCTTTAGCCTCCGAGAGGTACCTCTTTCTAGGGATTTGCTCAGTGAGATCAGACGGGTGAAGTTAATCACTTTTCTCCTGCTGGCCAGAGGCTTGTGTCTGGATCAAAGGCACTAAATTGTAGCCCTGTGCAGGCGGGGAAGAAGCAGGGTGCTCCCTGCATCTTGATGAGGCCTGAGCGCTGTGGCTGTACTGACTTCCCTGGGCCCCACAGGAAGGGAGCCTCTGTAGTGGTTGGTGATTCTGTACTAACAGGGAGACCTTTCTCCATCCTTCTTGAGCCAGATTCTTGTCTGTTATTCTGCCTTTCTTTGGTGTGATCCTGGATGCTGCTTGCAGGGAGACTGTTTGCATTTTATCTACCTGAGTTGGGACCTTTTCCAGCTAGGGGTTGCACTGGGGACTGAGTCTTTTAAAACTGACCCGGAATGTATGTGTTGAGGAGATTCCTAGTCACATTTTTTATAAAACTACGTGAGCTTAAGTCTTTGAGAATTAGATTAGTGCCTCAGAGTTTACTCTGTACACAGAACACATGTCTTTTGAGGGCTGTACCACGCTCACCTCCAGGGGCAGTTGTACACCAAGCCCCACCCTGTCCTGAGACTTTAGTGCTGTAGTTTGGGCTCTCAGAGCCTTGCCTGCATTGTTTCTGACATCCTTGCCTTCCCTTCCCTGCTGATCCTCGTTAAGCTTTCCCGTCGCAGTGAGTGTGCTTTGTCGTCATGTGTGGCGGCCAGCACTAGGGACTCTTGCTGCTGCTTCATAACGGTTTCCTGTGATCTTTGCAGTGCTCTGTGAAGAACTGCCGGACCGCCTTCCACGTGACCTGTGCTTTTGACCGCGGCCTCGAGATGAAGACCATTTTGGCAGAGAATGATGAAGTCAAATTCAAGTCCTATTGCCCGAAGCACAGCTCAAACAGGAAACCCGAGGAGAACCTGGGTGAGGGGGCTGCACAGGAGAACGGGGCTCCCGAGTGTTCGCCTGGGAGCCCGCTGGAGCCCTTTGCCAGTCTGGAGCAGAATAGAGAGGAGGCCCATCGGGTGAGTGTTCGCAAGCAGAAGCTACAGCAGCTGGAGGATGAGTTCTACACCTTCGTCAACCTGCTGGATGTGGCCAGGGCCCTGCGACTGCCCGAGGAAGTAGTGGATTTCCTGTACCAGTACTGGAAGTTGAAGAGGAAGGTCAACTTCAACAAGCCCCTCATCACTCCAAAGAAAGATGAAGAGGACAATCTAGCCAAGCGGGAGCAGGATGTCTTGTTTAGGAGGCTGCAGCTGTTCACGCACCTGCGGCAGGACCTGGAGAGGGTAATAATTGACACTGACACCTTATAATGGCTTAGAGAAGACGATGTACAGAGGCGAGCACTTGCCCAGAGCGAGAGATGATAGCCAGTCATTACTCTCAGATTCTTGTACACACTACAGCATGAGGTCGTGTTGGTTAAACATATTTATGGGCTGGTAAACTCACTGCAGTGTGCAAGACTGCCAGTGTGGGAGCTGCTTTGTGATTATTTTTCTTTACATACTGTCCCATTAATCTTTACTGTTCTGCAAGATCAGATGGGGCATACCTCCATCTCCCGCTCCCTTGTCATTGTAGCGCTGGAGGGAATTGAGCACCAGGAACACGACCGAAGGGTTGACTCAGCATTGTTTACAGCCTGATTTTGAGAACTGGGATGTATCTGACTTATGGGGGAGGGGTCAGCAGTAGGGGAATTTCTTGTTCAACCTGGGGGATATTTCCTAAGGACTGATGAAGGGCTCATCAGATAGAGCTAAGCACTGCCTCCCACTGGCCCATCTTCTTTTAGGCTAATTCACAGGGGCATTCCCAGCTCTGTTGCAGAGCAGAGCAGGCTCTGGGTGCTCATGTGTGTGCACGGACTTAAACACACACCTGCTACAGAAGACACTCTTGACAGTGAGGTGCTAAGTCATCACAGAGGTTGTGTACATACAGTGTGTTTGCTTGTGCGTGTGTGCATCCCTGTCGGGGTTATGTCTGTGCGTGTGGATGTGATTCCTGGTGCACAGGGGCATTGGGTCTGTCTGTGAAGTCCTTAGCGGTCTCAGTACATAGATACCACATACATATACACAGACATACGTGTTTATCACACTACCGGGTTGCCGATTACTGGCTGTTGGATGCCTGGAGCCTCAGCTGCTGGCACTTCCCCCAGCTCTTTGCTGCTCGGTGCCTCCCCCACTCTCTATTACCTCTGGAGTCCCAGTTTGGACCTCTCTTCCTGCTGCAGGAATAATTAGGAGTGGACTGTCCTCCCCAGGGTCTCCAGCTCCCTTAGGTAGTTTTGACTGAGGCTTACTAATTGGAGATGTGTCTTCAGCACCTCTTGCACCTACTCCCCTGACTGCTAGCTACCTATTAAATTCATTAGTGTGGCAGAGATGGGAGGCAGGTTTTCTGGCCTGAAGCAGCCTGTGCGGAAAGGCACCCAAGTGGCCTGAAACGGTTAACACACATCTCCCTCAAGCCCCTCATTTATTAGAGAGGAGTGATTCATCACCTGCTCGGCAAGAGACTCTGACTCATAGATGGTTTGAAATGAGAGTGTAGGCAGGGAGAGACTGCAGATGTACTTAGCCATAAGGATCAGTTCTCACAGAGGCCTGCACCACCTTGTTAGAGATGGGATAGTCGTGAAAGTAGTTTTAAGTGCTCATTAGAGGCCCTTTTAGTACACCATCCAATGCTGGCTTCTTGTGATGTCCCTTTCTAGACCTTGTTAGGATTCTGGGTAAGGTGGCTGGTGTTAGGCTAAGGGGAGGCAGCAGCAGGTTGGTGAGGCTCCCATACGCCCCCTGGTGGTTAGTGCAAAGAACCACATGCATTTGTGGTATGTTACTGAGAGAGGGATTCAGGGTCACTGGGAATTTGTTGAGAAGCTACTGTCCTCACCCAACAACTGCTGTAATTGGGGTGCACGGAGCCAGATAGTCCTTGGGAGTGAAGGACGAGATGTTTCATGTTTTGACTGTGTTTGTTTCACAATCACCACAGAATAAAAGTGTAGAAAATGCTTGTGGTGTACTAACTCTTTTTCTGTATTTAAGTTACTGAGATTAACATACAGTTATAATTAAATTCTGAACTTTTTTTGGAGTCGTCATTTTGCTTTTAAGTAGAATAATGCCTATGATGTATAAGGGAATAAATCAGGATTTGTGCGCTCGCGTGTGTGTATGTGTGTGTGGGTGGCATTACTTAACATTTATTATTAAAAAGTCTAAACTTTTAATGAATTCAGTGTCAGTTTAAAAGGGTTTATTTATAATGAAAAGTTATGTTTTCCTCATCTGCTATGAGGGCTGTCTGAAAACGCTAAAGCCTATGCCAGGCCCTGGAGAGTTGTGTAGTGCTTTGCAATTTAAACGAGTATATCAGGCCAAGGGCTCATCAGGGCAGGCATGACAAAAGAAAAAAAAAATCTAATGTTACAGTGGACTGGTTTTCTCAGTAAGTTAGTGATCTGCCTATTTAGGCACTATCAGTACACGCCTGGCACGCGAGAACCAGTTAACACAGGTGACTGGAATCGGGGCATGTGGTCATCCCAGAACAAGTGAGTAGCATGCATTAGAAGTGCAGGTGATTCAGTGATTATGTTAATTGCTCTTTCTGGCAAATAAATACCTTGGGGGGGGCCTTGCCACACCTGGGTACCAGTTCTAGCCCAGAAAGTTAGATGACAGGAATGGCTATCAGGAGGCACTGGAAAGAGAAAAGATGGTTGGTGATTTGACAAGTGGCACTTCACAAGTTCCCAAGGCTGCCACCTCGCTCTTACAGGACTCCTGACCACCTAACTAGGAGATTTATTGCATCTCTCTAGGAAGAGGCAATCAGTGTTCGCTCAGAAATTGAGTGCTAGTTCGGATAAAGGCCTCCTCTTGCTGTACTCTCTGTACTTGTATGGAAAGGCGTCAGGTCCTGAGGGACAGTTCTAGACATTTGTCACTTAGTGGGATGGAACTTTCGAAAACTCATCGGAGACCACAGTTGTCCGCTGAACAAAATCCATACAAGGCATTGGTGTGGCAAGCAGAAACCCACTACAGCTCCTCCTAGATGTTAGGCTGGTGGTTCTCAGGATGCAATCCCTGATACGATAGGAACGTTCTGGAAACTTAAAGTGCACACTGGAATCAGGTATCATCAGCTTTGCTTGTGACTAGCTCTAAGAGGAAAGCGTGACTTGGATTTAGCCTGGCATCAGGGGGCGTGATGCGATGGGGTTTGGGTTTCTGCTGCTGGCAGCTTAGGGAAGGTGACTTGGGGAAGTTCGGTTGAGTGGCATCAGTCAACTTCTCTAGATTCTTGCCAAGAATTTTTTTTTTTTTTTTGAGGGGGTCTACTTTGGAGCTGGATCAATCAGGCCTTACCAATCCCAGCTGAGAAACATGGCCCTTTTGCTTTGTGGGTTTATGTAGAAGTTCATCAGAGGTCTCTGGAAATAAAGATTTTTCTCACTTCGAGGCCATGGTAAAATCTTTCCTGGCATACAAGCCACCAAAGATGAGATCCCTTGACTTTTCATGGGTCAAGTTTGAGATGTATCTGCTATTTATCTGAGGTGAATATGAGTGTAAACTAGAATGCCCATTTCATGTTTCCAGAAATCATACTTATGTAAAAGCTGCCTTGTGTGTACTGTCCAGTTTTGAATTTGAGATGAGGATTTAGGTTTGATTCTTTTTGAGCTTCCACTCATAATCTCATTGGGTGGAATACTCCTTATCAAAGAGAATGAATATTCTTTTAGTCATTTCTAGCCCCACGTAGGTTATGTTTTCTCTAAAGAACACTTATTTCCTTGCCTGGAATTGTGGCTATCAGAGTTTGCTAGGCCCAATGACATTAAGACAAGGAGAGTGATTTCCTTTTGAATTCTTTAATCAAAGGCTATTTTTAACAGCATTAATAATGCAAATGATGAATGTAGAAAGAGAGGAAGACCCTGATTAGTGAATCAGTCAGGGTCAGCAGAGCCTGCTAGTGTTTCCCTTCCTGGCTCATGTCCTTTTGTAAACTGGACTGCCTTGAACATAGCTGGGGTTGGGGGGATTTAGAAAGGTCTGAAAAACACCCTGATGGTGGTGGGGTGTCTGCATAACCAGTGTGCAAAATGGCATGGCTTGTGTCAGAGAAGCAGCCGATGACCTTTGAACTTGCATTTATAGTTTCTACACAAAGAGACTGCGCAAAAGGAGCACATATGTTTAGGGTGCCATTGATGACAGTCAGGAGCGTGTGGTTATTTTTCACTACTGCCACTGCCTCTGAGGCTGTTGAGGTTTTATGGGTATCTTCCTGAAGAAAGGTTCAGCTGTTCAGTGGTGGCCTGCAGCTGACATTTTGCCTCCAGACCCATGCTGTCTAGTCACCTTTTGTTTTTTTGAGACAGGGTTTGTCTTTGTAGCCCTGGCTGTCCTGTAACCAGCTCTGTAGACCAGGCTGACCTTGAACTCACAGAGGCCCACTGGCCTCTGCCTCCTGAGTGCTGGGATTAAAGGCGTGCACCACCATCAGGCCAGTCTAGTTACTTTTACCAGGAGACGTTAGGACCAAAGGATCAGTGGGGTTTAGTGACTTTATTCTTTCATTTTGTACTTAGTGATGATGACTTTAAGAGTAGGCAGAACTGATTATGGAAGATTACTGACCACAAACTAGTGAATGCATACATCATCTGAAGCAGTCTTATATGAGTGGAGAATCTCAGCACTTGGTCTTTTAGTTACAAATGAACTAGAATGAGGTTAGTAGCAGTTTTAAATGATGATCCACAGATTCATAGGTTGGCTGGGGATACTGGGACAGTATTAGCATACCTCCCTGGAATACACTGCACTGCTGGGCTGGCTTTGTAAAGTTGTATCCAGTGGACCAAGCAGCTCATCTGCTCTGCCACAGAACCTTGTGCAGGGTGTTCTTATGCCATTGGCCTGGAAGATGCTTGATAAAAGTGCGCAGGGAGGTTGCTTCTGGACTCTACATCCATTGACAGTAAGATTGCTGGGATGACACTGTTGGATGGTAAGCAGAACTCAGGCACAAGACAGCAAGTCCTCTACACTGGAAACTGGATGGGAGGGGTTGGATTCTGCTGTGCTGCTCCCCCAGTGCCACTCCGTGGCTGCTGCAGACACCGAAGAAGTAGACAGACTCCTTCTAGTGGTAGGGTCAAATGCTTAAAGCGCGTTTGGATTTCAAATGTTTGTCAAGGCCCCAGGAGGGCCAGTATGTCTCAGGTAAAAGAAAACTGAAAGCACTGAAGTATCATTACTGTATTGCTCACTTAGAATCTCTATTCTCTACATTCTAGGTTCGGAACCTCACTTACATGGTGACCCGCAGGGAAAAGATTAAACGATCTGTGTGCAAAGTCCAGGAACAGATTTTCAGTCTTTACACTAAGCTCTTGGAGCAAGAAAGAGTTTCAGGTATGCATTAAGCCCTAGAAGGGCAAAATGTAGGGCAGGGGTTTGCAGCCTTAACACTGCTGTTGAGGGAAAACAGTTGCTCTTTCATCTGTCCTGTAGAAAGTTTAAGTAGTACAGCTGTTCATATTTAAAGGACATTGTAGTGATGGGGCTGCGGGCAGGCCTGCTTTTCATCCTGCCCGGCTCCTGCACGGCTAGCTTAGCTCCAGAAATAATAGCACGGAAACTGTATTCATTTAAACATTGCCTGGCCCATTATCTCTAGAGAGTTAGTTACTGACTAACTCTCACATCTTGATTAACCCATTTTTAATAATCTGTGTAGCACCACGAGGTGGTGGCTTACTGGAAAAGATTCAGCATGTCTGACCTGGTGGCTGGCTCCATGGTGTCTGCCTCACTTCCCTTCTTCCCAGCATTCTGTTCTGTTTACTCCGCCTACCTAATTTTCTGTCCTATCAGAGGGCCAAGGCAGTCTCTTTATTAACCAATGAAAATAGCACATAACAGAAGGCCCATCTCCATCAGGACATCTTTAAATAGTAAAGGCACTATGTTATAGGGAAAGAGCTGAATTCGGCCTTAAATAGGGTTTGAGACCTGTAGCAGCTCCCTGCATGCCCAGATGGAAGCAAGCTGTAAACCCTACTTTTCTCTCCAATTTCTTCATGTAAAGTGGGGATGCTATCTCAAGCTACCTCTTGTAAGTATCAGAACATTACAGAAAGTGAGAACACAGTTAAGTGCTCTTGATAAACGTGGGGCTAGCTACAAAGGGTCGACCTAACATGTAAATAGATGTAAGACTACTCACCACATACACTCAATCCTTAACACGTAGAGTGGACTTCTGAAGGTATAGATAAAATTCCTAGGGTGCTGGACATTTATTCAGTATCTTCTATTTACATTGCTCTGGCCAGACAAAAAGGGTAAGAAATGGTGGGGTGTATACTTCCTCTACCAGAGAGAGAGTCAGTTACTTGGAGACCATGTGTAATGCTGGGCAAGTGTTTCACTCTGGGATTCATTTGCTCTGGTGTAGAATCCTGACCTCTAAAGTGTGCTTTTAGCACCAGCTTTATATGGTGCTTTCTATGGTGACCAGTCCCAAGAAGTAGGTAATGTACGAGTTTCATGGAGGGAGTCTGTCCTGGGAAGTAGTTCCACACAGAGTCCCGAGTCAGGGGCAGGTGGGCTTAGGCCTTCAGTGGAGGATGGGTGACTCCGCCTTGACTGACTGCCCTTTTAAGTTACAGCAGCAGCATCCCTGATGCTCAGTTGTGTTCTGAGTCACAGTTGATTCACTCTTCCTGTCCTGATTTTGTGGTCTTTTCTCTAGATAACTATGACATAAAAACAACACATATGTTGTTCAAAACTGTGGATAACTGGCTTCGAGTTAGATACATGTGACCAGAGATAACTTGGTTAGCTGAGGGGAATTTTCAATAACATTCTTATGTTAACTTAGACATGTTCTTGTTTAGAGTTAAATATTTTCCAGAGGGACCAAGTACCAAATGTCTTTCATTTTCCTGGAACTTGAACTTTAGTTGCAAAACTGTGAATGTTAAGTTTTTCAAAGTACAGCTTCTTAGGTAAAAGCAGTGCAGTTTAGATCGTTTAAGGCCACCCTTATCTCTTCATTCTTCATTGGAAGCTGGTGGTGCCTGGGATGGTTACTGTAGTGAATCCTGCAGAGTTCTGCCAGCTTTTGGTACTTGGCTGTGGAATTTGTTACCCATAAAGGATGGTTTTCGTGTGGCCTTTAAAGGAGTCCTTTTTTTATGGGTATCACAGGCAGCCACTTGCATTTTGGCTGTGGTTTGTACTGGGTGAGCGAATGAAATGCTCTTCACAAGGTTAGGATGGATTTTGGGTTATAGAACTGTAAGGTAGATTGATCCAGAATTCCTGCTGCTGCCTAGCATGCCTGTAATCTAAGCCTACTGGGGCTGAGGTAGGAGGCATGCCAAAATTTCAAAGTCAGTCTGGACTACGTTATGAGTTCTAGGTAAGCCCAGGCTACAGAATGAGACTATGCTTAAAGAAAAGAAAACAAAACCCCAGAAGTACAGAAAAGAGAAACAGATCTTATTTTCCCTTCGTTTTGAGTTGCGTGATGAGTGTGGTCATTGGAAACGACTTTGCTCCTCCATGGGATGTCATTTCTAGACTCTGGTGCTTAGAGTATCCTGGTGGTAAGACAGTTTCAAGGGAGAGAACCATGACTTAACGTGTGTTCTTAGAATTCATGGCTCAAACTGTTGTGATTCTGGGAACAAGTAGGATTGTTTTGTAGAATGCGAGCTTCTTCGGTGGAGATGCTTATGGAAGGCCTATCATTAAATACTTTTGAGAGACATGGGCTCCAAGTCCAGTTGATAGATATTACAGTTCAGACAGCCTTGGGCCTTCTTCACTTTTCTGTTTCCTGCTAGGGTATTTCAGTAAAAACAGACAAAAACCCCACCTCACATGTGGCTATCAAAAGATAGACTCCAGTGATTGTTTTTTGAGGAAGGAGGCATTTCCAAGCCAACAGCTTGTAAGAAGGACCTCAGCTGTGTTGCTGTGCCTCCATCAGATGGACAGTAAGTCTGTCTTGTGGGGCTCCTGTGACACTGCAGCTGAACCCCGTTCTGGTGGTTCCTACCTTAACAGGAGACACAATGGAGAACTGCTTTTCTGTAGCAGGCCTTGATACTCTTGCAGAAACATGATCCTTAGGGACCCGCAGTTTTCAGACTGGGGTTGGTGAGTCTGAGGGTATGAGATAAATTTGATGGGTCATGACTAACGTACAAAAACAAAAACAAAAAAACAACCAGACTGAAGGGTCAGGCTGGAGAGATGGCTCAGTGGTTAAAAGGACTTGGCTGCTGTAGTGTTCGAGAGGCTCTGGGTTTGACTCCCAGTACCCACACGCAATGCCCAATTGCCTATTACAATAAACTTTAGTTCTAGAGGATCAGATACTCTCTTCTGGCTTTCATAGGCACTGTACCCATGTAGTACACAGACAAACATGCAGGCAAAACACCCATACACATGAAATAAAAATAAAAAGTTGAAAAAAATAGGAAGTGTCAAGAGATGAGAATTGATATTTCATAAAATATAAGCTTTTACTAGGTTAAGCTGTGAAACTTAAATTTTGTGATTTGCATAAAAGATTAACTTATCTTCAACTTGGATGACAACTTGAACCCAATAGATTTTGCATATGAATGAACTTTTAAAAAATATTTCATGTCCAGAATTATTGTGAACACCTACCTTTATTCAGTTTCTACATTTACATGTATTTGTCCTCAACGACCCTTCGAAGAAAGAAACTTAGGCTCTGCTTAGTCTCAGAGAGGAAAGTGGTGGGCAGTGACTGGTGGATGGTAGTCACTGCTGTGCAGCCAGGTAGAGCAAGTGGTAGCCATTGGAAGGATTCTGAATGAATCCCCCTTTTGAAAATCAGGTCCTCTTTGAATTTTGTTTGTCCTTTAACAGTTTCAGGAAGCTTAGTGTTTTTGGGAAAAATGTCGTATTGTAACTACTTAGATGGAAAGCAGATTCTTGAATCAGGTCCTGTCTTAACACATTTCTTTTTTACAAAGTGCTGGTGACTCTTGGGTGGGAAGTTTGTGTAATGATGCTTCAGGTCTAGAACTTTATTCTTTTGGATTTGCTTATGTAATTTTTCCCTTGTGGTCTTCTGTTTGTAGGTGTGCCTTCTTCCTGCTCCTCCTCACTGGAGAACATGCTTTTATTCAATAGTCCTTCTGTGGGTCCCAATGCTCCCAAGATAGAGGACCTGAAGTGGCATTCTGCGTTCTTCAGGAAACAAATGGGTAGTACTTCCTTGGTCCATTCGCTGAAAAAGTCCCATAAGCGAGATGCATTGCAGAATAGTCCTAGGAGTGAGAGCAAGACCCTGCTAAAGCAGTCAGATCTGTGTGCTAGAAGGGAGGGGCTGGGGGTTGCAGAGAACTTTCTGAGCTTTGAAAAGACTTTTGCGGAAGCACGTCTCATATCATCAGCACAACAGAAAAACGGTGTGGTGACACCAGACCATGGGAAAAGAAGAGACAATCGTTTTCATTGTGATCTCATTAAAGGAGACTTAAAGGACAAATCTTTTAAACAGAGTCACAAGCCTCTCAGGTCCACAGACACATCCCAGAGGCATCTGGACAACACAAGAGCTGCCACCTCCCCTGGAATAGGGCAGTCAGCACCTGGCATGAGGAAGGAGATTGTGCCCAAGTGCAATGGCTCCCTAGTCAAAGTGCCTATAACACCCGCCAGCCCAGTGAAAAGCTGGGGAGGATTCCGGATTCCAAAGAAGGGGGAACGGCAGCAGCAAGGAGAAGCCCGTGAGGGGGCCTGCCACCAGCACTCAGACTGCCCCCACCTGGGTTTAGGCCGAGTTCCAGGCAAGGAAAGGGCAAAGAACAGGTTAAGATCCGACAGTGAGAACGATGGGTACGCTCCTGATGGGGAAATGAGTGACTCCGAGAGTGAGGCATCGGAGAAGAAATGTATTCATGCCAGCAGCACCATCAGCAGGAGGACAGACATCATCAGGAGAAGCATCTTGGCCTCTTGATCAAACAGACGCTGTGGAAGCATGTGGCTTGTTGCTGGCCATGCTGAGAGGTCTGACACGGGGGCAAGCAAAATCCCATTATTTCTGAGCTACACAAACGTATTTCCTTGCAATTCAGATTGAATTTTTCCAGAGTCATTTATAAATCATTGTTGTGAGAAGTTTGTGTTGTTTGCAACTTGTTGAACAAACAGAAGAGTAGATTGTAACTACGAGACACTAAGATTAGAACCTGAACACTAGAAATGAAGCAACGTTAGAGGCCAGGCTTGAGAGGCACCGTGTATTACTGCCCTCTACGTTTTTTTCCAAAGCACAAACTCTTGGATACTCTGAGTACAGAATCAGATAGAATTCTGTGTTATGAATAAATTCTATTTATAGAAGCCTTCACTTACTATTTATAGCCCACAAAGCTTATTTTCTAGGAATGGTAAATGCTGACAGCATTTTGGCTCCCAGGCTGTTGGTATGAGTAGCTGGGACTCAGAAGCTTCAGCAACACTGGGATCTTGCACACGTGGCATCCAGGGGAAGAGTTTACACAGCAGGCACTGATGGAAGGCTGGAGGGACAGATCGGAGCTGCTGTGTAGCAGGTCCTGAGGCCCCGAGTGGGCTGTGGACATAGGGCGGGTGGAGAGGATATTGAAAAGGTTCTGTGAGAAAGGGCAGCTGAGGCCCAAGTGTTACTAGTCCTCTTGACCTTCCTCTTTTGTAGCTGCCGGTCCTTGGACCCAATTGGGATTTCCCTGGCTACTGCCAGTACTTGACCATCTGGCTTCCAATAATACAATGACTATTCAAGTTCAAGTGATGAACGTCAGACTCTGGTGACTCTGACTTCCCAGAGTCGACCATTATTACATATTTGGGGAATCCAGGCTTCCAAAATGAGCGGATTCCTTAAGCAAAAAGGAAAAAGGAAAAAAACAAACAAAAAAAGGTAAAACAGGTTATATTTTAGAACAATAGAAAGGCAATATGTTGCGTCAAGCTCTTATGTTGACCAAGGCTATACAGGAAAGTCAGTGTACCCTTGAATAGGTTTTCTGGAGTTGGAGTTCTAAACTCTTATTCGTAACTTGGACTTTCGAATTGCAATAACTAGTAAATTTTCAGCAATAATAAATTTAGCATTAAATTTGAGTACAATGTTCTGTTTTTGCACTCATGTAGTGCGTATGTATTCAGACAAGTGGATAGTGTTAAAGTCCTGTTTTTTTCTTTGGCATTCAATGTAGTTGTGAATCAAATTTAAGAGAAGGAAATAGCAATGAGATTTAGATGTAAGGGCATTTGGAATAAGCCCAGTTTCCCCTAAATCACCCTTAGTTTGTTAATATCAATGTTCAGATTCCTGATTCATTTATGCATCTGTTTCCATGTGGCAGGGACATTCTGATATTTAAGGAGCAATGCTTTGAGTTTGTAGAAGCTTTCAAGTCTTCCAGATGACAACAACAGAAAAGGCTTATTGAATTCCATCTTGCTATGCAAGTTTTATCAGATGATCAAATGACAGATCTGATGCATCCACTGTATGTACGACATTTTCAAACCAAGTCTTAACTTCTCAAGTACATTGTAGTAGCTAATTCAGGGGCGGGGAAAAGATGACCCAGGTTTTAGATTGACTATTTTTAAGCTGTGGAGCTCCTTTTGAGACTGCTGTCCCCAGATGAGCTTGTTGCTACCGGTATTTGAAGGTTCTTAGGAGTCCAAGTTATACTTCGCTTGTAGCTTAATTTGGAAATTATATGTTTTGCATATAAGCAAAAACCTTTTACTGGATCCAGGAAAAGGTTGGACTCTTATCTAATTATCTTCTGAGTACAGCAACAGCACTGGGTGAGAAGAGAATTTATAGAGGAATAATTTGTGAAGCCATAGAAAGAAAATCTAAATTAATCTAGTGAGTGTATCGCCTCTCACCACTTTAAGAGGCACCAGATCCATTTGCACTATTAGGAATGCTAGTTTTGTGCAAAAATAATGCCTTACCTGTTTTCCCCCACATTTAGGTTGAAAAGCTTTCAAATGTTCCAAGTTATGCTGAACCAAAAAACAAAACAAAATAAAAAAATAAAAAAAATTTCTCCCACAAAAACAAAACAAAAAAGAAAAGCCCACACTTTTTATTACTGCTTTGAAATGCAAATGGTATAGAGCACGGTTTCTGACAGTGTAACGATAGCTTTGTAAGTTAGTTTCATGTCATGCTGGGAACTCTGTATGAGGCGGCCATGGCAGCCACAGCCCACCTACCCACTTGCATTCTATTAGTACAGAGCTTTTTGTTTGTTTGTTCTTTTTAATCTTCCTTGTGCATCCTGACCAAGAAATACCTTTGATTATGATCAATGTATTATGTCAAAATGTAGGCTAGTTAAATTTTTGTAAAGTTGCCTGGAATGTCATTTGTTAGGTTATAAACACAAAATTTAAATGAAGGGTTTTATGTGTTGTGTACAAATCTTAATTATTTTAAGACGGACAAACTTGTCATTACATTTGTAACCTTGTACAGAGGATTTTTCACTATGTGCCTAGCTTGGTGTCCATTCAGCTAAAATTGAAAAAAAAAAGGTGCATGAAGAGTTAAAATCAGAAGTTAAACAAAGTATATGTAGAGATGACTATTTTATATTACATGGCCCAATCCTGTATTTATTTCTACCCCCCTTTTTGAAAGTATTTATAAAACTAGTTGAAGACAGCTGTATTTTTTTGTTGAACTATTTAGTAGAATTTGTGCCTTTTTGTCTGTATGTGAATAAATGCTGTACATTTTGCAATACATTTTTAAAGTGGTCTGTTAATCTGCTTTTGGTTAAGGGTCCTTCCCGTGGGTTTGTTGTCTCACTGTTAACATGGAGAATGAGAACTGTAGGGGACACACCTACCTGGAGGACACAGAATCACTGGGCTGGTTTCTAGACCCTGACTCACAGTTACCCTGTGTGTTGTCCATTCTCCTCCACCCCTCCATGCACACCTTGAGCTCTTTCCAGGATATAATTTGGATCTAACACAACTGTTACAGTAACGCAGACTAGGTTTAAAGGCTGAGCTGTGGTTTATTCTTCACATAACCATACCAAGTCTCTAAGCCTCATGAGCCTCACTTTGCTCAGAGGCTTATGCCTCCTACCCTACCCCAACCTCCCAAGTTAGGAGTTCAGGCAGATGCCAGGCAAGGTAACTTGGGAGGTTGAGGAAGAAGAACCATTAGGTATTACCTCAATTCTTCAAAAACAACAACCCTAAAAGACATAATTGAGTGTGCCTCCGCGACCGAACACTTGTCCAGCATGTGCAAGACCCGACTTTTTCATCTCTACTGCTGCAAAGACCAACATTTTGGTGTTTTACTGGAGTTGTATTATTTAGAGCATTTTACAGAAGATCTGTAGCCAGGTGGTGGTGGCGCATGCCTTTAATTCCAGCACTCGGAGACAGGTGAATCTCTGAGTTCAAAGCCAGTCTGGTCTACAAGAGCTAGTTCCAGGGCAGGCTCCAAAACTACAGAAACCTTGGTCTCAAAAAACCAAAAAAGAAAGATCTTCTGCAAAGCATGTGCTAGGCATTGAACTATGGTAACCCGTAGTTTTTCATTGTTAGGATACTCCAGGAATCTGCTGTGACTTGTGAACCTGCCCATGCTGATGTTATTCCTGAAGGTTATAAGATATGAAGCGCTTAACATTTTTTCAGAGTGGTTTCATTAAATCCCTTTGAGCACAGAACACTGGAACAGTAGGTCAAATAAGAAGAACTGACCTACATTCCATAAAAAAGATGTCTAAGATCATAGTATTGGGAATTGGCAAAACTGTGCCTCCTAATTTTTAGTTTTGAATATTTGCTGTGGGAACAGACTTACACAATCAGTCCAGTCAAATGTACCCTTGTGTTGGGAACAGTAAGCCTGATGTAGCATCCACATCCCCATGTAGATTATGATCAGAAGCCGTCATTACTTCTCTACTTGAATTTATAATTTTTAAGAGTGTCTTCTAACATGAATTGTCAATAGTTAGCTAGACCTTTGTTTATTTCTCCTTGTCCTCCTTAGTGACTATTTACTTCCATGTTGCTCACTCTTCTAAGACTCCAGAGAGAAATAACTGTGATTCTTCCTATAAGGTCTTCAAGTTGAATAGTCACAATAGCTCCCTGGGGAAATTAAGTCCCCAGGAGCCAAAGGAAGGGCCCAGTGTTGGCAATTCTGTAATCTGTGATGGGAAATGTGGCAGCTGGGATTTGAGTTCATGTTTCCACCCAAATCAAGGAGAAAATGGTTCTGCCTTTGAAACATTTGCCATCTGCATCAAACTGCCATTAACTGCAACACTGAAACCTTTCCTCCAGTTTCTCTTTAGTGCTTAGAACTGCATTAGACATTCAGCCTAGTCTGTGCCACAGTTTGGAGAGCTCTGTCTCTGAAAAAGATTAAAAGCTAGTCTGTTCTGTCCTGTCCATTCCTTGGTTTCTGCTGCTCTCCATGCAGCTGAATTCTACTGAGTGTACTGCTTTCTCAAGGGGGAGTAATTCTCAGATTATACAGATGCTTGAGGTCTGGGTATTCTGTTTTTCTCTCTTGTTTTAGGCAGCAGCGCCTTGGGAATCCTTTGTGAATGCTTTCTTCAATGGCCCATTGTTCTTCAAGGTCTTTACCACCCCAACAATTTCCATTTCTTGTGGTTCCATCACCTCTTCAGGGTTCTTCATTTCTTGCTAGATTGCTGCAGCAGCCTAGTCTTGTTTCCTTGACTCACGCTGTGCTGAAATGAACCGCTTCCCCTAATTAGCTGTAACCTTGCCAATGCTATCTCCACAGTAACAACTTCCAAATGGCAGATTCTGTCATTCTGTACAGCTTTCAGAGGAGCCTCCAGACTTGGTAATTAGACTGGGCTTATCAAGTGGCAAGCACTGGACTGTATTACGTATACCGATTTGTTGAGTCTTTGGGCAGGCACTGTTCTCATTTTGGCAATGAGGAAACTGAGGTTCACCATCTGTGGTGAGATCTGGAAAACAAAGTCTCCAGACTCTGCTGCTCTTAATATGAAAGTAGTTCACGTAAAACAATTCACATGCTCTTGAGGACATAACAGGCTTATATATGTGACCTTTACTTCATCAAATCATATCTAGTAAAATCAACAGCTTTGGATTTGCACATTAGGAGACTATAAGCATGAAATGATAAGGCCAGTCTGCTAGGGACTAAGATCTGCCTTTTGCAGGAAGAATGAAATTACTGTAGCTGTAACATACGTACTTATGGTAAAACAAATGCACATATGAAGAGAGAAAACAATACTGCTTTTAGGAATGCAAAGAATAATTCTCTAGTTGAACAATGCTTGGAAGATAAAATTCTTTAAGATCAGTTTCTGATATGAGGATTGTTTTGATATTTTAAATTCAAATAATTCAAAAATCTCCAAGTCAACATTTTTTTGTGTGATATTAAGCACAACAAACCTAGCCATTTCCATAACTGGGTGAGCAGTGCTGCTGGTTGTGAATGTCTGTAAACCCAGTAAGGAGCTGAAGCTGAAAGTCTGAGTTTGAGGCAGTCTCAAGCAAACAAAAACAAGTAGTGCCAAGTCAAGAAGCACAGCAAAGAAGAGTGGATGGCAGTGCCATGCTAAACACGGCAGTCTGTTCTGACAGTCTCGCAGTGGCTCGGCTTGGCCAGGATGAGCTTCCATACTGCGTCTGCCGAGTGTGGGCTAGTTGGTTCTTTTACCTCCTTATCTGGTGGTTCTAACTGCAGAATTACTTCCAATGTAAAGCAATTTTTTCATGAAGCACACCTTTTCCTCTGTTGTTTCCCCACAGAGCATCCTCAACGGCAGACTTCCTTCTTTTCCTCCCTAGCTGTGGCTCTGCTCCAGCTTCAGCGTTTGAATTGTTAACTTCTTTTTATTTAGAAAAGTAGGATTTTCCCCCACTTGCCTTGTATTTAGGATATGGATACTTTGGTTATCTAGGTTTGGAACTATCAAGTAAGTTACACTAGATATAAAGACACTCAGGGAAGTTTTCAAGGTACTAATGAAGGGCTTTTAGATTAGGGTTTGAGTCTCTTGAAGATGGCAGGTGAATGACATGCACGAGCAGACTGTTGGAAGGTCTGTGAGTAGATGACAACAGAAAAACCTTGCTTTCAGTAGCAGTGGAAGGAGGGAAACTTAGGAAAACTGGAGAGAGTTCAGTGTGTACTCAAGAGGGCTCAAATCTGACCGAGAAATGGTTTCTTCTCAGTGAGTAACAGAGAGGATGGGGACTTCTGCTTAAGATAGAGCTTTCAGGAAACCCACCCTGCACTTTCAATAACAGAAATACGAGGACAGAGAAGCTTGCTTTCCCCACATTTTACTTGAGAAGTAGCAAGAGGCCATTAAAAAAAGAGCCCTATTGAGTGGGCTAGGTAGACACTGAGGCAGAGGCCCCTCTGGGCGCCCAGGCAATGTCAGTGGAGAATATCGTCAGCAGGGAGAAGGCACGGCACCTGAGTCTAGGTGAGAGATGACACACAGACCTCGGACCTGCACAGTGCTCTTTCCTTCACTCATGTCCTTCCCGTAGTTAATATCTCATTTAAATTTAGTGGGTGTGCTGGCATGGAATATTAGTTTAAGATGTGTTGCATTTGTTTATGCTGTGGAATATCTGTTTAATGATGCAAAGATGTGTTGCATTCTTTTATGTTGTATTTGTTTAACTCTGTGAAGCTGTGTTACTGGTGCCTGCCTGTAACACCTGATGGTCTAATAAAGAGCTGAATGGCCAATAGCTAGGCAGGAGAGAGGGATAGGCAGGGCTGAGACAATAAATAGAAAAAAATAAATAAATAAAAAGACCATGGCCAGGCAGAGACAATAATTAGAAGAAGCATGAGAGGAGGGAGGAGTGAGAAAAAAGGCAGAGAGGAGGATGCTAGGGGCCAGCCACCCGGTCAGCCATGGAGTAAGAAGGGAAGAAAGACATAGAGAATAAAGAGAGGTAAAAAGTCCAGAGGCAAAAAATAGAAGAGGAGAAATGAGTTGATTTGTTAGAAAATTGCTAGAATTAAGCCAGGCTAAGGCTGGGCATTCATAATTAAGAATAAGTCTCCATGTATTTATTTGGAAGCTGAGTGGCACGTAAGCAAAGCAAAACAACAAAACAAAAAGCCCAGACAACTACACCACATGCTGGCTAGTTTTTATGTCAACTTGACACAAGTTTACAGCCATCTGAAAGTAAGACAACTTAATTGAGAAAATGGTGGTCCTGGGTGCTACAAGAAAGCAGGCTGAGCCATGGGGAGCAAGCCAGTAGGCAGCACTCCTTCATGGCCTCTGCACCAGCTCCCCCTCCAGGATCCTGGCCTCACTGCTGATGAGGTGACTTTGATCTATGAGTGAAATAAACCATTTCCTCCTCAAGTTACTTTTGGTCATGATGTTTCAGTGGACCAGTCTTGTCCTGTCTTATTCTCATTTGTCCTTTGGTTTCGGTAAGCTTTTCCAAAGTACAGCTCCAGACACAGGAGGTTGGAGTTGGAGGCCTTCCTGCCTCAGCGCTGAGGTCATTTTAAATTATCACAATGCATTGCTTTACTTTGTTCTTTCCCTTCCCCTCTTACTGGAGCTGTCTTGTTTTCCTCCTTTACTGAGTATTTTCTGTCTCTGGAGCTCTAGTACTCCAGTCATGCTCTCTGCTCATTTCCTTGCCGTTCCTACCCAGAGGAAACAGGTACTGTAGTTCACACTGTACTATCCTTGTTCCTTTACGCCCTC